CCAGTATGTCCATTTCAATCATCTTCAATTTTGTCCGATCAAAATAAACTCCTTAGAAAATGACCTGTAATTCTGTTCATTTCCCCCAAATCTAGATCCTCCCCTGAAAACATCCAGTTTTATATGCGAAATTCCCATTTGATTGCTTTCAGAAATCCCCCCGCTTATGGCAAATTTCCAATATGACCATTCACATACAGAGCTATTACTGCAGTAAATATGCGGTCAGAAATAGCTCGTGGCCTGGGGTCTAATAAAGTTTGTTGTCTGTGAAATGTGGTCTTTCAGCGTTTTATGAATTCTCAGGGTAGCAATGAGACCCAGTTTTCACTCACCCTTCAGACTGATTTGTAAAAATTTCAAAAGTTAATATTTGGTCCTTTTTTAATGACATAATCGTTATATTCATTATCATCATTATATTCATCATCATCATCACCACCATCACCATCATCATCATCATCATCATCATCATCATCACCATCATCATCACAATCACCATAGTTCTTAAAACGTGGAGCTGCATGAAGTGTTATCTCAGCAAATGAACATATAGACATGATCACGTTAATGCATTCTAAAAGCATTTCCTCCCATCTCACATCCTTCCTCTAATGGATTTTCTTCCAACCCAAATCTACAGTCAATGACCGACTAAATGTGAATATCGTAACCACCCCACCCCCCACCCCTCCCCCCCCCCCACCAAAATCACAAGTTCAGCCTGCTAGCCTAGCCATGCCACAACTGCTTTCTAGTGGCATAAGATTACGCTATTTTCTCTAGGGCATGTACGATGCTGTTCTGCATTGAATGAAGTCTGCAAAGCCCTCCATTCCATTTGGTCAAAGATGCATGAATAATTTGCAGGACAATTAATCCATGTATGATGACCAAGCAAAGGTAGAGCAGCTTGAAAGCGGCTGGGGACGGCTACCTGGGAATTATGCTCAAATGCATCATCGTTTTGTCAATGATGATGGTGATGATGGTGGTGATCGATGAGTCAGCTAGCCAAGCTTTTTAGACTTGCAATCAACAGCCACTTCTTAAGAGCATGTACAGTGTACACAAATTGCCATTGATGACATTATGTTAATTATTCATTGTTTTCTAATTTGAAGCAATACATTACTTTTAGCCATGAAGTTTCCTCATTATGAAAATACCTGAATTTATTGAAAACATCTAGCTTTTATTGTATTATTTTCCTTTTGTATTATCTCATGAATCTCATGATCGAGGAAAATGAAACTCTTTTCTGAAGACACTATACTTGACTCTAATTTCTCTTTCAGACCTAACGCTTTCTCCATCCATTAACCATTCATTTACACCAACACCATCGATACTCCATCCTCCCCACCAAACCCATTAATAGCGCTAAGCATTCTCCGACCCCCTTCCACCTCGCATCCACGCACCCGACGGGCGTAAACCCACACCACTTCACCAGCCCAGCTCTTTGTCTCCCGTGTTTGCGCAAGCTCTCTACTCGGTCATGAGAAGTTTGAAATTTTGATTTTGTTTTCTTTTTGAAGAGATGAAGAAGAAAATAAGCAGCACTGGGAGGAGGGATTTGAGATGTGGAACGGGGGCAAGGGCCTTCCAAACAGTCTTGAATGATGAAAATATCATTATCCAAACTTATGTGCAAATAGAACTTGAACCTAGATTTGGAGAAGGGAAGGCTTGACACATACAGTGTATACAGATGAAGGCGTACTGTGGCATGGATAATGCTTAACATTTGCAATTGGTGCAAGATCGAGTGCCTGTTGTGCTGAAAGAAACATTGTAGGAAAGGCAATGATCTGTTTTATGAATCTGTGATTCAATGTGAGGGCAAATATCAAATTCATTGATGTAGACTGATAAATAGATTCATGGTCTATTATCCTACTTCAGCTTGAATGAAGGTGTTTAATGAGTAGGATATGCACCGTTTCTCAATAGTCAGCCGTTGATATTTGAACACTGTACAATGGGGTGCATTTTACCACAATCATTCAACAGTGTTATAAATCACAGACATCTTGCTTTATTCAAGGCAAACATATAAATGCAGAGGTGATGAAAAGCAAATGAAATAGGAACTAGACAATACAAATTTAACAATAAATGGTTCTTTCAACAGAAATGATATTTTTCATGCATGATCTACCATGCTTGTCTTTTAAGGTCAAAACTAGTGTGATTAACCACTGTAAACATTAATCAAGGTTCTCATGTTTGCATTGCCAAAGCAATGTGTGACTATATTAGAAATTGATTATAAGCCTGCTTGGCTATTGTTTGGAATTAGATATTTACTCCAAATTATGTTTTTCTCCCTTTTCAATAAAGTGAAAATGAAAGTGTTTGCTGTGTGTACGCATCTCTCCTGTTATATACAGTTCAAAATAATGGGAAAGTTTCGATAGAAATCTTTTTTTTTTGGGGGGGGGGGGTCTTTACCATGGGCCTTTATCTTTTACTTTAAACAAAATGTAATACATTTCCATCAAACTCTAAAGTATTTGTTTTATACATAATTTCCATTTCATTGTCAACATATCCAGGCCTTTCTCCTAATGAAAATAATACCCTCAATCTCAAGTGCCAAATCAGTAGACTATGAATATTAACAAACCCTCTCAATGTCTGTCTTTTCTCTCACCATTAACTGGAAACCAGAATCCAGCGAAAAAGGATTCGATTTTGATGAAATGCTCTATAATATTAGATTATTAAACATACTCTGATGATTTAATTTCAATTCAACTCCACCAGAGCGTAGACCAAAACGCATTCGCGCCTGCTTGGTTGCTTCTACTAACTCAAAGCCATTTGAGCAGTGCATGAATCGGGGGGAAAAAAGGAGAAAGATTGGATAAAATTTTCACCCGGAGGTGAGGGCGAATGGCGGCGGCAATTCTTTTCATTTGTAGGTTGCCGACAGTTCTTTTCTCCCCATTTTTTTCCTGATTCAGATGTTTGCATATTGTTGGGGGAATTTCCATGGAATACGCGCTAATAGCACTGACAAACTATGATGAATGTGGTATTGTGTATTGCAGTGGAAGGAATAAACAGAGGAAGAGGATGAAAGAGGTCTGGAAAAATTGGCCGCCAGCATTTTGCTTTTTCACCCATTTCATGCGATGCGGGCTGCTCAGTTATAATTGAGGTGGAGGACAAGTTTGGATTAATAGCCCCTTTTTCACCTATTTATGGCTTAATAACTACCTGCCACAGTGACATATTCATGTCTGAAAGCAATTAAATAGCCTACATTACTTTGATCCTGAGAGAAATGCACAATAAATTTAATTCCAAATCTAGAACATGGTCTGATTTATTGCATTTTCAAGAGTTTCTGTCCTATTTTTACAGAGGAGTTTTATTAAAGCAGGATTTTGTAACATGGCGCCAACTTCCCACTTGCCAGTATTCCAGTGTAGCTGACATATATGTATGGGTCATGTGTGCAGTAACAATTACAATGCATTCAGTTTGCCATTAGTGGTGAGGTAGTAGTGCAATTAGAAATCTTCCTCTTTCTCTATTTGAAGTTAATATTGACATTCAGCCATGTGTAACCAACCTATCTCTTTGTACACAGATAATAACGATAGCAAGACCTATCCTGAAGAAAGAGCATAATTTCAAAGTTGTATTGTATTCGTGTGTTACTTGGAACATGTGAAATTTTCTTGATAGTCAATTTTTAGAGATAATTATGGAATATATAGAACTATTTGAAAGTTTGGAATCAAAATGAAAAAGAGGTCAAAGTATGATGGCTGACAGATACAGGACCGTCGGGTTCATGATTGTGAAGATTTACTTTATAAAATAGTAACAGAAAACCTTTCTAATATTGGCTACATTAAATAGCAATTGGAATGTAAGTCTCATTAAGATATCTATATGTGTATACTCTGGAATAAAATCTATTCTGGAGTCCTGGATGTGTTGTTTTTCCTCAACAGCATTTGTTTGTATCAGTCTGAAATGAGTAAGGGAACGGTGAATTACAGTACGCTTGAAATTATATTTGATGACATTGATTTAAGTGCTAATTATTGCCAAATGGAGAGCACTTAATGTCTCTAATTTACCAAGTCATAATGAGTAAAACGAAATATTGTAATGTGTATGATAGATGGAGAATGAAACATATTGAAGAGACATCTTCTAATGGTAAATGACATAACATGAAATATTCATAGATTGATGCAGTTACAGCGCTGGGTTTAATATAAAATTCATACTTGATGCATAGCAGGGTTTGGTGAGGGTCGTGAAGGGTCGTAACAGCTAACACCATCTTGTTTGGGGGCTATTAATATTTTATAGGATTCTGGGGACATCTCCCTTAGGGAAACTCCCTTGTTATGAATAATGAAAATGGATTCAGGTGAAAAAGAATAACAACATTAGTGAGAGATTCAATGGGGGTGGATTTTGCATTTAGATTGAATGATCATGCTGTAAATAAAGCTGCCTCTGAATTTAAATGGCATATTGAATCCAACATGAAGCATTGAAGGATATCAATTTTTAGAGAACAGAATACACAAGTTATTTGTATAATGAAGATATTCAGACACACATAGGTTAAGAAAATCAAAATGCAAAGAAATATTAATTTTTGCCACACAAAAAGTGTTTACGGTAAGCTTAACTATCCTGTCTAAAGTTGTTTTTGATTAAGCCAGGTTTTTTTTAAGTCCATGATAATAATACTACATGAAATACATCTTCTGTATTCAAGAGATGTATGTGTATTGTTATGATTTTCTTTCCCAACTGAAGTGCCGATGGAAAGTTTGTGTACAGTATTGTAGAAGCAAACCATGATATTTCAAATTAGTAGTTTATACATTGCAATCAATTGAGAACTTGTACATTTTGACTCCAATTGTAAATACACTTGAAATCAATATGTAATGGGTGCTCTAGTTTTCCATGATTATGTTTTAATTTCTATTAATGTGTGTGTTTGTTTATTCCAGACTGCAAGGATTATTCTGGATGATTGTGATCCTGCTGTAGCCCTTGACAATGGCCACCAGTTTGATGACTTTACTTGCGCTGCAGAAACACAGTTCCTTGGAGAACTCAGGTAAGAATTATTTGATGTATGTCTTAAAAGATCGATGGAAAGATGGATATGTCAAAGAGAAAGCTGAATATGGTATTCAAAGATGAAAAATAAGAATTGAGCTGTCTTTCTATGATGAAACACAGCTGAAAAATTTGGATCAAACTTGCATGTCTTGTGTGTGTGTAGCCCCACATACCCATTTCTGTGTTTAGTTCTTTTTATTTTCAGCAAGATTGAGTCAACATCATTTTATTTTTCAATATCCTGAAAGCTCTCAACACACAAGTATCCCTATATTTACTACATATAGTATACAACCTTTTGACCAACCTTGTATGAAGTCCATCACTGAAATGCTTGCAGCAGCCTTGTTTGTTCAGATTTTCTTTCTATGTTCAGTAGAAAAAGTGCTTATTACAAAATAACATGACTCAATCATACATTCTGATGTAAAAACAGGCCTGTCTACATGTTAATGGAAAGTTTGCATGTAACTGTATACATGCCATTAGTGCCGTCAAAGATTTGGACACGTAAGTCTCATAAAGTGCTACTATTTCAGGGGCATTATTTGTTCAAGGACATTTCAGACTGTCCAACAGCCTCATCCTCAAATCCCTGGGATAAAAGACACTTGAGCAACATTTGTTAAAACTTCTGTGAGAATCCAGTATCCAAATACATGCTTATCCCCCATTCACACTACCCAAATTCATTGTAAAGTCATATAGCGAGTTGATCAACAATATCTTTGTTTCTTGTCTTTCTTATCTTTGTTTCTAAATGAAATGTCGTATAGCAAAACACAAGTGTGAGCATTGTTTTGAATAAAACTCAATAAAGAATTGGGGTTCTATTCTAGTCTGAAAGTAGTGTTTACTAAAAACAGGGCGGGGCTTATCCTGAGCGCTCATTGATGATTGGCCAGCTGTCATGTCAACTAACCTCTACAAAATAGTTTCTTTATACAACGTATCTAATCTTGTCTGTACATCCCCTTTTGCTATAAATAATGATTCCTGTATGCAAGTTTTGTGTAACTTCCTCCAGTCTGAAAGGGCCATTTCAATCCTCCCGCCTTGCTGCTGAGGCATTGACAGGATAGGATGAAGCCCCAGTCGGGCGCAAGCACTCCCAACTGTCTGCGGCCAAATATTAGAAAGATGATTGATTTCTTCGCTCTGGCTGTCTCATTTTTCATCTCATATTCTGAGGGGTGCCTCCCCATTTTGTACATCAAAGTATAGGAATGCTATGCCGCTTAGTACTGGGAGTAGGCATAGCCAAGGGGAGGAGGGAGAGGGAGGAAGGAAGAGAGAGAGAGAGTGAGATAGAGGGAAAACAAATGAAATAGAGAGAAAGAAACATACATTAGATAAACTGACAGAACAGAAATACATGTAGAGAAAGCAAAAAGAGAGTGAGAAAGAGAGATGGAGTAATAGTTTATATAGAGATGTATGATGAATGAAAGGAGAGATAGAGATGAACAGAAGGTGAAAGGGAGGAGATTTGTGGGAAGTTCTCAAGGAAAATGTAATTGATGGTGTGCGCCATTAATTAGTGTAATGTATATAGAAATATAGAAGAAAACTTAAGTGGGGATGGATTTCGAATGTGATAGAAATGATGAAAAATCCACAGTGAGAGTTTTACGGGGATAGAAAAAAAATTGGAAATACAATTGTATAAACTGAAGATTTTGTCCATCATTGATATAATACAATAAGATATTCATAAATGAGAAATAAATTGGTATTAACAAAACTGACTGCTTCATCAAAAATGACTGAATTGTGAATGAGATATGAAGGGGGAAGGGAATTATGAAATTGTGTAGGTTAGGATAAGAATAGGTATAGACGATAGACAGTAGAGAATGTAGATAGGGAAGAGAACTTGTGTAAAGAATAAAGATAATGAGGAGAGAGGGGCAAAGAGAGAGAGAGAGAGAGAGAGAGAGAGAGAGAAGGGTGGGGGTGGAGAAAAAAAGAGAAATGGGGGTAGAGGGAGAAAAATGGAAAGACATACAGAGACAGTGAATACTAGAGGAAGATGCTAGACATAGCTTGTGCCTGTATGAAAGACATGGAAGAGGATAGACTGGGAAGGTGAACTAAATGGGCTGCAAATTTGTAGTATCTTGTTTCAAATAACTAGCGCTGATGAAAAATTCTGCCGAGGGTGTTGATTTGTAGAAACATGGAGGGTATTGAATTTTCAGAATGCCTCCGGGCTAGAATGTTAGGAAGGTACATCAAAACAAAAGGAGAGAGAGAGCTTCAGCAGCTTTGCTCTTTGGAGGAAAAAGAATCATGTGAGGTATACAAATGATTAATTGGTCCCAAATGAGTGGAAACTATCATGTTCTGGTTTCTAATTACACTTTAGTTCAGGAATAATTTTTTTTTTGAAATGTTTTTAGTTTATGAGAAAACAGGAACAGCATTTTCACGATACTAATGTAGATTTGCATCATGTCATCTTTCCTGAAGATTAGAAGATTATAATTTAAATGATTAAATAAAGTGTAAGTGATTTGTTTACTAGTAGGCACACCAGTGCAAACCGCTCCTCTATAGAGCCTTTTGCCACACTGATGCTGTGCTTCGTAATGCTGCTTGATGATTAGTTTAATATTAAATAAGAAATCATATTTGAAAATGGATGTACCAATGGGTTTTTGTATGATACTTTAGCTCAATGCTAAGAAGATCAAATAAAACTAAGGAAGTAATGGATTCATATGTGCCATTTTTAATTCCTTTATCCCTGAAATATCCTCAACAAAAGACAAAATGTAAATTAATGATTTAACTTTCTGTATCTCCCTGCAGATTCCTGGACCTCAATGGACCCTTCATCATTGGCGGTCTCCCAGAGCTTCCCAGTGAGTTCCCTGTGGAGAATACTGACTTTGACGGCTGCCTGCGTGACATCTACATCAACAACGAGCTCCTGGATCTTGCCACCAATGTGGAGGACTACAACACGGAGCCGGGCTGCCCTCACAAGGCCAACTTCTGCGAGAGCGACCCCTGTCATACTGGAGGGTCCTGTGAGAACGGTTGGGACCGCTACCATTGCCATTGCTCTAGTGGCAGTGGAGGAGTCAATTGCCAGGAAGGTATGGTCCCATACATCCACTTTTGTATAGTGTAGAATTATCATTTGAAGAGATCTTTATATTGTCCAGTTGTGTGTATAGAAACAATATTGCATTTGATGAGAAGATCAACCACACTTTGTGGAGACATGAAGTCAAACTGTAGGTTATGCAAAAAGATCATCATAAGTCCTAGTTAGTCATAAATGCTATGTTTCAATATTTGTTCTTCATCCAATCTTTATAAAAACAAACATATTGTATAACACTTTTTACAAGCATGCCCTGTACAAATAAAAACAAATTATAGATGAATTGAAATGTATCAGCACAAGTGTCATTTGAACCCTATAAATTTCAATCATTAACATCACTTTATGCTAGAATTTCTTCATTCTAACAATTTTGGTAATATTTATTTCAGAATTGACTATGTACTTGCCAAGTGAAACACTTTGCCTTGAATATATAACATCAGTAAATCAAGAATTGAATGTCAAAGAGTTTCATCTTCTGAATTCTTACAGCCTTGTCCACCCCCATTCGCTTCATCGGTGAGAGCTACATGAGATTTGATCTTACGCATACCGTCAGCCTGCCCTGGACCAATCGGGTTGTGTTTCGCACCGGCCAGCCCAATGGCGTCCTCATGTTTATCCAACTGTCAAACAACATCAACATTCGCATTGAGGTATGTTTGTATGTTCTGCAGAGGGAGAAATGTTACGAGAGATATGTACTTGTGTTTCTTAAGTAATGTGTATCTGTGAGATATGAGGTAAGAGGGGATAGCATGAATGCTATGTGTTCTACTCTCTATAACATACTCATAATTCATCTTTATGTAATTGTATAAAGGTCCAATGTAAGCAAATCTAATTTATTCATTTCAGCTGCCATATTGAAAGCCATTGGCGTCAGTGGTCTGAGAAGTGTTTATATAGTGCTTTTTGTAATGAAAATGTAAATATCTATGAAATTTTCTACCCTCCAATAGAAATTTTAGAATATGATGTAGATTGTTTGACAACCATCAGTAAACAGATAATACAGGGATATTCATACAGAATCATGAATGCTGTGGTGACTTAATTTTGTCCAGTCAATTTCTAAACCTAACTGAATCCAAAACTTCAACTCTGGACCAAACACTATGCGAAACTCTAACCCTAACCCTGTCCTAACCTTAAACACGTTTGTAACCAAACTCCTGATCCTATATCTTTGACAAAATCAGGCCAGAGTAACTGTTGTATAAACAGAATATCTTTACTAGCCCAAAGGTGATTTGATGAAATAGAAAGTAAAAATGTCATATGAACTTTGTGTAGATGTGTAAGGTTGAGATGAGGAAGAGGATCAAAAGTAGGATAAAGTCACCAGTTTTTATATATTTTGTTTTGTTCAACAGAGCTCTTTAACAGCTTTTCAGAGCTAAAGCACTCTCTGTATTTTCTTCCTTCTATCCAGCTTGTTGAAGGCCACCTTCACTATGTGACCAGTTCAGTGGATGTCCAGCTTGACCAGGTCACATTCAATGACCGAGAGTGGCATGACATCAAGGCAGAATGGAAGAACGATAAAATCAAGCTCTCCTCGGACTTTGACAAATACAAAGTAAGTGACAGTAAAGAATAGATATTATTTTTCTTTAAATCAAGTGAATGACTAACAAAAGATTTGTTGATATTGTGTTTTGTTTAGCATTTGTAATGTAGAATTCGAAAAAAGATGTTTCCAATGAATATCCACCTGTAAATTCCCAAACAAAAGAGGTAGAATGTCTTACATTACTTTTGTATAGAACACGACTGAAGCTGAATTTGCATTAAGAAGCAATGTTGAGGAAGTGAATCAGTAATAAAAACCAAAGTCTATAGGTCATACACCTTCACTTCTTCACTCTAATTGTTATTGTCTTTCATTTTTAATGCTATTAATGTTAAGACAGAGCTGATAAGTGCAGATGATGTTTTGTTTTAATCACAATATCAACAATTGATCAATCTCAATTCAGTTCCTTGTTTCATTTGGATTTCAATTTCCAGGTCCTTGTGTATTGTGTGATGGTTAAGGTTAAGAAGAAATTTTGAAAAGTCATCAGTGGATATGAGAGTGTCATCAAAGAATATAGTTAGCTTGCACTTTACACAGGCCATGTTTTATCCAAAGAGCCATCACAAATCAATCCATTGCATCTCTTTTACAAGGCAAGAGATTTGTTGGTGGGGTCAGAAAATACAACATGTGTTAGCACCCGCTAGCATCAGTCCTCCTGTAACATAAACAGAATAACATGGTACGATAATGATATTGCCTCTGTTTCCAGACGTCTGTGCATGCGACTGATGCTATCAATGGAAAGACAGTAGAGAGAGTGGATCTAGGCGGGAGGCTGACTGATAATGGCATGTACAATGCTTTCACAGGATGCATGCAGGTAATTATATACACACATAAGGAAATGAATATGTTGTTTTATAAATCATCTACTTTACATTTACTGTAGCTGTTACTGTGACTGTTAAATACCAACAATTATGTGGACCTCAAAGCATACTATCTTAATCCTAAATAAAAGCAAAGTTGAATGGTATTATATCTTCTGATACAAACTGCTCAGAAGGAGGCAAAAATGGATAATCTCAAATTATTTAACCAAAGCACTACAGTATGGATCAATAGTGATTTTGCATTTGGTATTATTTGTAATGATTCCCAATTTATCAAAATGAAGCAAAATGTTATGATGTTGTATGTTATACAACTCCACATCCACACTTCCTAAAATGAAGGAAAGGTTAAGAGATATTTGTATTCAATAATCCAAACATGTTATAATGAAAGGAAACTAAAAGGTTTTATATATAATATTCCAATTTTTTTAGAATGATGCACAGTTGAATGGTATAATGCATGATGATCCAAAAACCACAGAATGAATCAAAATTGATTGATATTCTATATTTTGTGATAACAGGGTATGTCTATCGGTGAAAGGCCCCTGGACCCATCTACTGTGGAAGGTGTTAACATTGAGGAGGGATGTAATGTCCCTAGAGCATGTGAGACTGCCAAGTGTCCAATCCACAGTGTTTGTGTGGATCTGTGGGATGCGAATGAATGCCAGTGTAATAAAGGTAAATTTTATCGTCTAATTACTTCTATTTGTGAATACTGTATTTAATTTCCTAGCTAAGAACAGATTAACATTGAATGTTCAGTTAATATCATTAATAATTGTTATCTATTGATCTCTGTTTCCATTTGATTGAAAAATGAAAATGTAGAAATTTACATTTAAAACGAACAGGATTTTACGGGTTAAAATTTCAATTAGGAACAAGAATGAAATAGGAATGTACAGAATGCCATGTCTCTGCAACAAAATATTTTCTATGCTACATATATTTAAAATATAAGTGTCAAACAATAGATTTGCAATGTATTAGTTTTCAGTTAAGCATTTCTTCCAGAGACACTAGAAAACAGAGGACTTGAAGTGTCACCTCTAAGACTACCTCTTTTGCGAGGAACTTTCTTCAAAATTTGTCATTGTACATGTAGTTTATCATTAATCAAGTTCATTGTTAATCAGGTTACGTCGGTCCCGACTGTGTATCGGCCTGCGACCTGCGCGTCTGTGAGCATGGCTCCTCTTGCACGCTTGACTCGTCCTCAGAATTCGGCTACACCTGTTCCTGCTCTGACCTCTACTACGGAGACCACTGTGAGAACATCATCAACGAGTGTGCGGACGACTGGTGGGGTCACCAGATCTGTGGCCCTTGCGAGTGCGATGAGGAGATGGGCTTCGAGTCTGCCTGTAACAAGACAACCAGCGAGTGCTACTGTGCGGTGAGTTGGTATTCGTTTTTAAAGAATGGGACGGTGGAATAGAGAGAATGGAGGTGGTTATTTATGTTATTCTGTTTTAGAAGGGGGATAGAATATGATGTGGCTAGGAAATAGGAAAAATATGGACAAAAGGTGAACAAATATTGAGTCATTACAGAGTGAGAGAGTGGGAGAGAGAGAGAGAGAGAGAGAGAAAGAGAGTGGAGGGAGACGAAGGTGAGGGGAAAGAGGGAAAATAGAAAGTAAAATCATAGAAAGAATATAAGATGTAAAGTAAGAGAGAGAGGAAGAGAATGTAAGAGTTGACAGAAATACAGAAACAAAGTTGAAGTTATCACAAAAAATTATCTTAAATTAATATTGAGATATATTCTATACACTTTAGGAGCACTCGTACCGACCATCTGACAGCGATACCTGCTTTCCTTGTAACTGCTATGAGATTGGCTCCCTAGGCCAGGATTGTAACCAGGAGACCGGGGCTTGTACCTGTAAGAGGGGTGCCATCGGTAGACGATGTGATGAATGTGTTGACCCACATGCTGAGGTCACTCTCAGGGGTTGTGAAGGTAAGGTTCAACATTCAAAACAGGTTTGCTGATCTTCATCCCCTATTGTTATGCGTGCATCATCAGAGAATTGTACAAAAATATCCCAATAAGTAGCATATTCCATGATGTGTGGATAGATGTTTCACGTGATGATTGACTTCTCTATACTTGGTCTAGTAATTCGAAACCCATTGAAAGGCTCCACACTATATTTTTTTTACAGGAGGTCCATATAGTACATGCATTTGTGCCCCTCGTTATGTTTTTATTTTATTTATTTACTCTTTTTTTTGGGGGGGGGGGGGTTGTCCAAATCTTAGGTTTGGGGGTCATCTTGCATTGGGCTCTTAATAGTCACAAGCCCAGCTTGTTTTTATGTGAATTGGGTGTCGTAATGCATTGAATGATACTAGAATTATCTTTTTGTTCATTAACCCTTTGCCTATAAAAAAAAAATTGTTTCCTGTATTCAGAGAGATGGAGAGGATGCAGTAGTTAGAAGGTTTAAAGTCACGATGCTACATTTACCTTTCAAAGTGATAGATTTTTTATATCTATTGCTGTTTTTCTTCCTCTACATTCCAGTGGTGTATGACTCATGTCCCAAGCGTTTTGCCGAGGCTCTGTGGTGGCCAAGAACCAAGTTTGGAAAGACGGCTACCTTGGACTGTCCTGGAGAGAGCTACGGCTTTGCCACCCGTTACTGCGATTTAGAGACGAACTGGCAGACACCCAGTCTCTTCAACTGTACCTCAGACAATTTCCTTCAACTGCAGAATATAGTAAGGACTACAGTCTTTCTGGGGTCTTTCTGAAAGGAAACACCTTATTGAGAATGTTAAAAAATTATAAACAATTTAGAAGAAGTGCCATGACTGCTTATGACAGGTGGATACTGATGCTATTCAAGAAGACATCCGCAGCAGCAGCATCAATCAAAACTTTTCACACTATTTGTTCAGAGCTGGAAGGGTGTTGTCTCATGTCATTTAACACAGAGTTAATGCCTTTCTATCTATCAGCAGAAAATTGCTTTGTCATGTTTTTTTTTTAAATACTAAGTTCAACAACATACATACAAGTATATAAGATAATGATTAATGTAGTGTTATTTATTGTAGAAAAGGACATGTTGACAGTCAAGGTCTTTTCAAAATTGTTCAAGGTGGTGGATGGAGGGATATTTTGTATACGTTTGGATTTGACAGAAGTGAAAAACTTATCTAAACAGCTGAGGATAGAGCATATACATAAGAAATACATTGTACTGAAGAATCCATGCATGGTCACAGAAATATTAATTGATATATATATTCTGTTACTGAATTGTAATTCTTTCTTCCTACTCACAGCTGCAAACTCTGCAGAATGGTCAGAAACTATACCCAGAGGTATCCTTTAACATCGCCATGCAACTCCAGGAAGCCACAAACGAGACAGATCTTTTCCATGGGAATGATATCAACATTGCTTACCAGGTCTTAGGCTACCTTCTCAGACATGAAAGTAAGCAAGTGGGACTGAATGTGACTGCCACCATCATGAAGTCCTTTACAAAGGTAGGAAAACAACAAGTATATCACACCATATTTCCTAAAAAGAAAGTTTATTTCACATCCTATTCTATGTTATCAAACTATTATCTGACTACATTACTAGAGAAATGATGATGATGATGATGATGATGATGCACATTTTATAGCTACTGGTATTGATTCTTAAACCACTCAGAATTTCCTATTACATGTATTTAGAATTGTCAAATGTACTAGTTAAAATCTCATGATTAATGACCTAAATGCAGTAGAAGTGCATTTTTCAATAAATTATCCATAAATAATCGCACACTTGAAAACATTTCCCTACATATTAAGTAGTTCATTATGGTAGGTTCATGTTTCTATTTTATGTGTGTACGCCAAGCATATGTACATGTAGGTAGCAATTCATGATAAATTAACACAAAATTTCTGGAGTTCTCCTTCAATTCTCCCAAAGAATTACATTTTAGCACAACCATTAAAAAAGCCTTGGCAAATGTAGAATAGTAACTGCTTACTAGTCTTTGGCAACATGCCAGTCAAATTTGCTTACCTCTTATGACTTAAACAGTATGCTTGCGGGTGCACCATGTGAGAGAGAGGGAGGATTGAGGAGTCCTGAAAAGGACTCTCAGTAATCTTTCTTGAGGGTTTGTTGGGTTTATGACTTGTAAGTCATCCAATGCTTTGCTTACTGTAAACCTGACATATTTGCATGCATGAAACTTTTATGGTGCAGAGTAACCGAGTTGCCAAGTTGCTCCATGTGAAACTGCCCTTTGTTTACAATCCCCTGAAGTTTCATGTGTGGTTTTGCATTATTCCTAACTGTCACATTTCACATCATCTTCCTTTGTTGACAGAACATTGTTGAAACAGTGAGTCGCCTGTTTGAGCCTCAGAACCGTATTCATTGGGAGATGATTCAGCAGACTTCAAGGGGGACGGCTGAGATCATGGAGGACATGGAGAAGTTTGCTCTCAACATCGCTAAATTCACGAACTCATTCTCCTACACTCCAGAGTTCTCCATCATCACCCCTAATATCAGTAAGTCCTTGATTCATGAGAAGATATGTTTGAGAAGAATTTGAAATGTTTTCATTAAAGGTATGCTTTTAGTACAGTAATGTGTGATGAATAAGTTCTCCTACAGTTTTCTCAGTGATGCTTTCTCCTAAATTATTTGCTTATGCTGTAAAAATGTTTATTTTATATAAAAATCTTTGCCATGTAAATCTCAAGTCATTAGATATACATGAAATGATAAGATTGCTTTGAAACATAGCTTTTTGGTAGGCAATACTTCAGCCTGTATCAAAATGAGAGATAGATGTTATGCAGTGGTGAGACTGAGAGAAAGAGCACAAAAGGCAGAGCAGTGTGAATGATTTTGGAGAGAGAAAAAGAAGGAGAGAAAGAGAGGGGCACTAGGGATGATGCAATTTACAGAGATAAATAAAGATAGAGAGAAGAAGAACAATCTTTGTGAGTAAAATGAGAAAGCGCTATGGATGTGATTCATTTAAGAGAAGCATATTTAATTATCTATTTGTCTTTGCCCCTCAGTCATGCACCATGACATCATCCTGCGAGATAACTTCTCCATGAGGGCCGTTCCTGAGTACGAGATGGAGACCCTTCTTTCTCTTGAAGACAACTCTCAAGTCCACATCCCCGGTGACCTGGTCAAGCCACGGACAGAGATTGATGACCCCAACCAGATCTCCGTCACCAGTAATGTTGCCGTGACAGCCTTCATCCTCTACTCCACCTTGCAGAATCTTCTCCCAAACAGCACCAAGGACAATGTCAGGTGAGTTGCTGAGCGTTGTCACACATACAAACCCTCTCTTAATTTGAGAATTAATATCAAATTTTGAACTCACTTCTTGTTCTGAAGTCTTGGCCATATCTCTCTAGTCAATCTCCTCTAATTAAAGAATTTGAGAATATGTATGTCAACTGACCTATTCTCTTTTATCACAACACCAGGAAACCTACCAATGATGTTGGCCAGATCATTGACTCACCAGTGGTATCCTTCTCCATCTATGATGAGCTGGCCAATGGTACCCTTCCTGACCCTCTTCTTACTCCAGTCATCGTAGAGTTCCAGTCTATAGATGCAGTCAACAGGAGTGGACCACAGTGTGTCTATTGGGACTTTGAATTGTGAGTAATTGTGCCTTTTTTCACTTCATCTCGTTTGATCTACAACGATGATTGTCTGTGAATGCTGTAATGTAGTGTAATATGCAAGGTTGTACATTTCTTTTTAAAATTATGATATGCTGATCCTGTATAGGCCTTCATTAGACAAATTGACAACAGAAATACTTCCTGTGGCTATCTTTCATTCTAAATAGTTAGTACTTGTATCCGTAACGGAGCAGATAGGTCTAAAACTAGCTGTAAGAGACCATAATGACCAGCCTTTCCTAGAAGGAATAAGTTACAAAAGCACAGTCTGCCTTTAACCAGCTCTGTAAGACAAAATATTCGCTCAGTACACAGAGATAATTTGTGAGACATACCATTTGTTTTCTTCTATTTTCTAGCAATAATGGTACTGGTGGATGGTCTACCTATGGCTGTGAGCTGAGTGGTTATAACAGAACTCACATCAACTGCTCCTGTTCTCATCTCACTAACATAGCAGTCATCATGGACAATGCACCTTACATGGTAAGTCATCGGTTGGTCAATTGGCCCAATTTATTCTGGAAAGCACAATGGTAGGAAAACAGATATGAGAGTGTGGAGATCAATATTGACTAAATACGTTCAGAATTTAACAGGTTTTATCAACCCTTTGCAGAAGATTGTTATACATGTAGAGAAATAGGTATATGAGACATTTGAAACATACATAGTTGAAAAAGCCAGCAATTATTCAAATTTTGTTGATTCGGCCTCTTGATTTTGTTTTCTTCTGGACAAAGCAGCATCTATCATGGTCATCTTTAGAACAACTGTAACAGGTGCAATCTCTTTGTCATATTTCTCCCAATGCAGTATGTGGAGGAAGTGATGATCACCCTGTCCATAGCTGTCTACATAGGTGTGGGTATTGCCATCTTGTGTCTCCTCATCACCTTCCTGACTCTCCTGGGTGTGTCCAACCTACACACCAACCTCAACAGTATCCATATCAACCTCTGCTTCGTCCTCATCGCGGCGGAGGTCACCTTCGGTGTAGGCATCAGTACAGAAAACAATGTAAGTCACCATTCAAACCACCTTTCTTTTTAATGGGATGTTATGCGTCAGTCACATTGCCCAACAGACCAATTTTTTAGCCATCTGGGTTAATGTAATCGTTAGTAGTCTGTAGTCTATAGTTGGTCTACTCTAGTGTCAGTCTTGTTAGTGTTGCTGGGGTGTTAAAATATCATTCATGTGCTCAGAGTCAGAAGGGCATTAATAAGTTCATATAATCAAAGACAAAGTTAGCTGCTTCATGTTCTCAACTGACAAAATAAGAGAATTGTAATATGCTGTTTTGGGTTTCATGGAAATAATAGGGGAGGGTTCATCAAATGTGAAGGTATGTCATTCTGGCCCTCAAAAGCTTTTGAAATAACTATGTACGAGACAGTAATGATGTTTTGTTTACAAATGTTGAAGTAATAGTAACCAAAGACAAATCAATGTAAAGAAAAGTGTCAATTTCAGTCATTTGAATGTCTTGAGTAGACAAATTAAACATGGAACATTGGTGTGATTTCACATTCTAGTTCTTGATAAAAACCTGTGGCAAAACGCGCAAGAGTTGGCGGAAGATCGAATGTTTTAACTACTTGACAGGAAAATATATTTTGCCTGCCTTGTCCCACTGATGTGATATGTTGTTTCAAGAAATAACCAGATGCTATTTGAACGAATCACTTTTTGATAAAAGCAATATGTTACTCATGATAGACCAAGTTCTATCTGGGAGAAAAAGAGAATGGAATTTTAGTCACATGAAGTAGAAAATAATCTGTGTAGGGGATGGTTTTAAAGCCTAATTCTTTACATTTATTCTCTTTTACAATGACAGTATGCCTGCACAGCAGTGGCCATCATTCTTCACTACGCCCTCCTGGCTGCGTTTGGATGGATGTTTGTTGAGGGTGTCCATCTCTATCGCATGATGACAGAGATCAGAGACATCAACACCGGTCCCATGACCTACTCCTATGTCCTATCCTATGGTCTGTCGGCTCTCATCGTTGGACTGGCTGTACCTCTCAGTAACATCAACTATGGGTCCCAGGTCAACAGCAGGAATGAACACTTGTGAGTCCAATTCAATTCAATTTCATTTATTTCATAAAATCATGAGTATAATGAATCGAGAATGTGAGCAGTTGAGATGAGAGATCCTTCATGTTTCTAATGTTAGATGGTTTTAAATTTGAAAGAAGGCTGTAAATTTGTCATGTGTCATTTCTTACTCCCTTTTTAAGATGTCTCGTAAGTCTCTTATTATAAACGTTCCTCTTTTTTCTTGAACAGCTGTTGGTTTTCTGTTGACGACTTGTTGATTTGGAGCTTTGCTGGACCAGTTCTTGCAGTAGTGGCAGTAAGTTCTTTTTATTATGCCTCCATTACAAAGTAGCCGGAGACATTATATTTTCGGGTTGTTCGTCCGTACATACGACCAGTTGTGAGCTGATTAATAACGATGTATAAAACAAAATTGTTAAATGTACAACATTCTAAAACTATTGATGTTAACCCACTGAAGATTGAAGTGGAGCATACTTAAGTTCTGACCCATGGAAGTTGTTTGTTAAAAGAAACCCAAACTGTCTCGGACAGGCTATTACTAAATTTTTTACTTACCTGGTAGCTAGAAATTTTAACACTGGACAGCCACGTTTTATCAAAAATATGTTATATATTCATTGCATTGTAGGACTAGATTGACAATGGCAGCCGATTATTTGTTTTGATAGTTGACTATGTAGGGCAATAGTTTAAATCATCATGAAAAAAGCCCCCTAAATTATTGCTTTTTTCTAAATTTCAGATGAATATGGTGGTGATCTTCCTAGCAATCATGGAGTCCTGCAGATCAGCTAACAAGAACCCAGAGTTTGGAAAATTGAGGTAAGACAAGGGGACCATAGCAGACTGTATGACAATATTGGGGCTTGACACAAATAGGGATCTGGTACACATTTGCCCAGTGCAGGTGTGCCCTGAAATTTGAACTTAAATTATAGATTTGAAATAGTAAGCTAATAAAGAGCTTTAAAATGTCATCCTAGATCCCTCTAAAAAGGTTAGTGTTGTGCCGTGCGATAGCTGATTTGATATTTGTGAGTTATCAAACCTCTGAATTATAATCAGAATTCAGAAGAAATGGCAATCAAGGGTAGCTATAAGATTGGGAGAATGTCTTCCAATCTTGGTTAAGATTGTAATGCAATAATATTTTGTATGTTATGTAATAGGGTCATCTTTGCTAAAAATTTATCACAAATTGGGACACTGATGTGGTATAGGGTGTATTCACATCGTTTTGGCCAGTGGTAATTCCTGTATCTGATTTTAAAAAAATTCAAGATGTAATTCTATTGCTCATTCTTCTCAGGTCTTGAATTTGAGCTAAACTTTATTGCAACCTTTAATTTCTTCTCAATGTTCTAAAACAATCAGATAATAATATTTGTTTATTTGTATTGTACCTTCTAATTTAAAGGTATAGGTTCTTAATAATAATTCAAAATGATAACAGAGGTTTCTTTAGACTTCTACAAATCAAGTCACTTTAGATTGTGGCCTCGCAGGCCAATTTAAACCAAGTTTTTAAATAATTTAGCAACTTTTCCTAAATGAATATCAGAATATCAAAATACAACTGTTTTTGTATGAGTAATGGTATAGGTGTTGGTCGACAAGTATGTTAAGATGTTGTTATTTTTCTTGTTATATCACTTTCACACACACACTAACTCACACTTCCTAGACCTCTGATGTAAGTTAACCATTCAAATAAAAGCTGTGCTAAATGTATTTTCTTTCAAGATTATTGTCATCAGATTTAGCCTGCTTATGTTGTGTTTATTATTTTACTTTTGAGGAAGAAGATATTCAGAAAATGTGTTTTTGTTGAAATTAAAATATACTGGATAAATAGCTTCCTTCTATTGCAAGCATGTGTGCTCTGCGTTAAAATTGATGTCATGACTTTTTCTGACTTTTTAATCAACTAATGCAAAAGAAATGTTCTAAAGAAACAATTCTTGAAAAATAATATGAGATATTTTTTTATGTAAAGAATTATTTGTGCCTTATGCTTTCTTTTCTTTAGGTTTGACTTGTTTTAGCATTACAAGTAGGCCTAGTCGTATGATTTTTTAATGTTTTTATTATTATAAGTCATTTTATAATTTCAGGTTTGAATAGTTGTAAATATGTTGAAGTGCATATTAATATTGAATAAGTTCTGTATGTAAAAAAAAAAAGTTGTTATCTTTCTTTACCTGAATTATAGTCACATTTATAAGCTCTTTTGTATCCCATTTCTTCTCTTTATTGCATGATTATAGCTACTTTTTCATGCATAATTTTTTATTTTGCAAATTTTTTATTTTCAACAATTAAAATACATTGCTATGTTATCAATCTAGTGTTACTTCTAAGTTCAGAGTAATCATATTTTGATCAATTTATTATGCCTCCGTTACGAAGTAGCCGGAGGCATTATGTTTTCGGGTTGTCCGTCCGTCCGTACGTACGTCCGTACGTACGTACGTCCGTCCGTCCGTACGTCCCGTTCTCGTGATCGCGTTATCTGAAGAACCGATTGATGGATTCCTGCCAAACTTTGGTCATGTATGTATCTTGCAGAGCCGATGAACTGATTAGATTTTGGGGTCACGAGGTCAAAGGTCAAAGGTCACAGGGCTCATTATGTATGCAAAAACAGCTCGTGATCGCGTTATCTGAAGAACCGATTGATGGATTCCTGCCAAACTTAGGTCATGTATGTATCTTGCAGAGACGATGAACTGATTAGATTTTGGGGTCACGAGGTCAAAGGTCAAAGGTCACAGGGCTCATTATGTATGCTGAAACAGCTCGTGATCGCGTTATCTCAAGAACCGATTGATGGATTCCTGCCAAACTTGGGTCATGTATGTTACTTGCAGAGCCGATGAACTGATTAAATTTTGGGGTCATGAGGTCAAGGTCAAAGTTCATGCGGCTCATTATGCATCCAAAAATAGCTTGTGATCGCATTATCATTAGAACAGATTGATGGATTCCTCCCAAACTTAGATCATGTATGTTTCTTGCAGAGCCAATGAACTGAGTAGATTTTTGGGTCATGAGGTCAAAGGTCAAAGGTCATGGGCTCATTATGTATGCAAAAATAGCTTGTGAACGCATTCTCATTAGAACTGACAGATGGATTACTATTTAACTCGGGACATCTTGCAGAGCCAATGAACTGAGTAGACGTTAGGGTCATGTGGTCAAAGATCAAAGGGTCATATATGTATATGAGAAATTGCTTGTAATCACGATATTCTGAGAACCTGTTAATGGATTACAATTGAACTTGAATTTGAACCATTTCTTCTGTTTTGGTTTGTAAAATTGCTCTATGACGGAGGCATCATTTCGACTGCGCGCAGTCGAAGTTCCATCTAGTTGTATATATTTTAACTTTCATAAAAAGGGACAATCATTTATAAGCATCTATAAAATAATTACCTATGTGCTTCTTTGACAATTTTTTGTTCAGAATACAAATCTTTAAAGAAAATTAGAAAAGAATTGAAATGATTGATTGATTAATTTCTTGTAGAAAAATAGATTTTAGAAATTAAAACGGAGGCACATGTTTAGCCTTTCTTTTATATAGGTACTAGGGGATTCCTTGATTAGAGAGTCGATTCTCTTTCATAACAAGTTGTCAAACATTGTATGTGTGTTTTAGGTTGTTTACATGTATATATATATATATATATATATATATATATATATTATTTTGTTTTCATCATTTATTTTAATAACAGGACTTCCCTGAGAAAGAACAAATTCATGTAATAATAATTTTGCTTTCATATGAACATAGTTTGATCAAATAAGCTGTAATTTAACATCAATTCTCCTGCAGTTGGTTATGATTCCTCCCTAATTATGTAATGTTATGATCTCTTTCTTTCACACCAGGTCTGGTATCCGATCCGCCGGCATCCTTCTACCTCTGCTTGGCATCACATGGGTGTTTGGTTTGCTTGCTGTCAATCAAACTCTCATCATCTACCAGTATCTCTTTGCTATCTTTAATAGCATCACAGGACTAGCTATACTCCTATTCCACTGTGGCCTGGATTATAGGGTAATGCATTTTCATTTATTTTGTCCCAGATCAATATATCTATTTATCTTATTTTGAAACAACAGATGGATTTGGTACAGTTAATTTACAGAATTTTTCGCCTTGAAAATTAGAGTTTGTGAAATTTTGTTGAAAAAGTAAACTTAAAACTTCCAAATTTGTCTTTTTTCTAAAACTTCATGTATTTTTGGAGGGGTACTTTGTAGGATTTGTGTACATGCACAACAGCATTTTTTCAAAGATAATTATCAATGAATTACATGCATGAAAGATATGCTTCAAGATTTCAAAACAAATTTAGTTTTTAATTAGAGTTAATGCCATATCTTAATCAGAAGGAAAACAAATCAACAGTTGCATTGGAATTTTCATCTTACAACATATGTATTACACTACTTAATGAACCTGCTGATAAGAATTAAGTTTTACAAGAGATTATACATTGATTAAATTGTCTCTGTTTTCAGGTACGGAATGAGTGGTGTAGATGTTGCCACAGGATGCAAGGAAAACAATACAAACCAGAAATTAATACCAGCACGAACTCGGTAAGTTCTTTTAAAATGTGTAGCTGTAGAGTAAATGTATTATTAATCTATCTGCATTAATAAACAAATATTTCAAAATTTATACTCCAGAAAGTAACTTTATTGTTTAACTGTCTGTATAAATTCATTATTTTCTTCAGACTTGTACCCAACAGAGAAATAATTCATTGTTAAATCACCTGCTGTCATGAGTATAGAGTATACAAGTGATGAAATATAAATGGATAGAATACCTGTATTCTTTGTGAAAACAGGTTATTTATTTACTAATTTCAGATTAAGAAGTAAATTAGGTTATTCTGTATCAAGCTATGAAAGTATTAAAGATATGTAATGATACAAATGTAGTTCTAAATTTGGATACAGTAAAATAAACAAATACATAAATAGTGAAAGAACTTTTTCTTTGGATTTTACATGCCTTCGGATTAAAGATTAACTCAACTATTTTATTTTTCTTCTCAAAGCGATCTGCACTGACATACAGTAAAAACGATTCCGTTGGCACGCCAGGCAGATACAACATTGGCATATCGACAGCGTCGGTAGGTGCAAGTAGCCGTTCATCGAAGCTGAGTATTAACCCCCATACTTACCGACCCGATGGCTACCTGCGCAAGACGGCCAGCACGACCACCACTTCCCCCTCTAACCATTTTGACTATGTGCCGTCATACTACAAAAATAATGCAGAAACAAATTTAGATGGTAAGTTTGTTCATTCATATACTTTTTTGTAATCATCTTTACTATCACAAGTTCAAAATGTTGGTGATTAATTTCATGATATTTCTGCATGAGTACTTATAGAAGACATTTGTTTTGTGACTTTCAAAAGAATGCATGAAATTCACCATCTTCATTAAAAAAAAAATTATGTTGTAGTACTTGATGAATTCATCACCATATAGAATATTCAGATACATCTACTAGTTGATGGATTATTGCCACATTTGACACATTTTAAGAGGAATTCCATGAGCATCCTTCGGAGATATATATACATGGTATCATACAAGAAGCCATTCTCAACTTCATTATCATCATCTACTAGATACAAATCATAGTATAAATGCCTTGAACTAATCATGAATGTAGATTGATTACCCATAATCCCCATTGCTTCCTGTGCTGCTTTTATGTTATTATGCATTAACCCAACAAACCTGCCACTTTTCATGTTCTAAACATATTTTTGTAAATATTGGGACAAATTTATTATGTCCTTGCCTTTAAAAAGAATGTATACCATGAATTTCATTGTAAGTACATGTAAACGGCATAGTACATGAAATTTGAGTCGATTGAAGAAATATGTATTTTATAAATGTATCCTCTTTCTAACATGTTTCAGCTGTTCTGTTACTGTTTCAGCTTAAAAATCAAACAAGAAAACTTAACTGCATGAAATATATATTACTAATATAACCCTTCTAAATATCATATTATAGAGGTATTTCTAAAGTTGGTCAAACTAAATTCATGTAAACATATGAAGAAGGTAGACTGATTCTGGACAGGGATATTACCATGTATTAATCAACTCATTTGAGAGGATTCAAATCAATTATAACCTTTAATGGGGCACATATTGATGACATGTTTAAAGAGAGACCAGCCTATTGTTTTGATATACAGTCCTTCTTATACACAAATTATTCCAGTGCTGCTGCTGCATAGAAAACAGAATAAAGTATAATATTAATGGAAAACTAATTGCAAGCTTTATTAGAGAAGCAATGGCAGTATACATCATGTATGAAGAGCTAACAGCATGCTTTTGTCCTTCGCTTCTTGTTCCACACATTCATTCTCTACACACGCACAGCAGCTCATATGGGTATGATGGGACACACCAATCCTGTTATGAATGTATTAGGTGAGACATCTCATTCTGTCTGTCTGTTTGCTGTTCTGTCTGTATATCCTGTTTCTGTTTGTTTGTGCTTTCAAATGTTCCAACTAATGTTCTTAAATCTATTTTCTCCCTGAATGATGGATCTATCTTCTTATCTCTGAGATGCCATTAAACCATTGACTTTTTGAATAATTATTTTATTGATGTTATCAATTATTATTCTTTGATTATTTACTTCTCAGATAAAATAATCTAATTGTCATTCGACTCATAAATTTTCCGGTTTCTCAAGTAATTATTTTTCTTTATTTGTGAATCTGAGTGTTATCTAAATTGTTTTCTTCTTTCCTAGATATGTGAGTGTTTGTAGAAGGTATAATTTGAAGGTCCTTCTGTACTTTTGATTCAACTTTCAGTTATTGCATTGACAGGAACATCTTTGAAACAGTATCAAGGTTTCCTGATACACATTACTATCTTAATAGTAGCTATTTAGATTATTAATGTATAGTATCTTTTTGTGTTTATCTTTTACGTTTAATTTATGTATTTACTTGCTTTTATTTTTCTTTACTGTTTCAATGTGAAGTAAGTCCTTTATCATACTTTTACCAAGGGGCTTGATACTTTTTCATTCTAGTAGGTCTGTTTAGGGGTATCCTGTTTTAGCTGCAAAGCCCTAGTCTAAAAGTTTTTGAATAATTGAAGTTCTGTAGTAATTCACAATTTTGGGGTATTGAATTATACTTGGTGTTTTATAGAAGCAGTGTATACCTTTCCAAAGGAATGGCCTGCCTTACCATGTAAGTAAACTCTTCATAAAAATAATAAAGAGATGTAATGGGCCGCTTGTGGAATGCAAATCAACTGTATGGCACTGAATGTCTCAAAATTAACACAATTGAGATCATATTGTAAGCACTGTTATTAAAGTCACAATAGTATAACACCTTGATGAAATGAAACTTCTGTAGATTGACAAATCTAAACATCCCTGGTCCACTTCATGAGTTATGAGCTTGTGTAATTAACCAGATACGGAGTGCATGTACATCATGGATGATTTTATCATTTTATTGACAGCTATATGTATGTTCCTGTAAATGTCATGTGCCCTTGATATGTATATGTTCATTTGTCTGTCAGTAATAAATTCATTACGACAGTGAAGATAAATATGTTTAACATCTTCTCATATTACCCATTTAGATTGTTATCTCATAAACATGAAATTTTGTTTTTTTGTGTCCCTTTCCTCATGAAGTTATTGGCCAATTACTGATGACTTTACTTGGTTATTGATTGAACAGCTATTGTCAATTAGCCATCTATATTCGAAAACATATTTGATGTTTCCTATTTGAAAGAACAAGGTTAACAGCTGGTTGAGTTTCACCCCTACTTACATAGGGTGTTTAAAGAACAAAATCATTTATCACTTCTGAGACATTAAAAAAAGAAAATTGTTTTGAATTTGGAAAGAAATTGTGCAAACCACCCCATAAATACAAAAGAGCGTAAAGTAGAATGTTATTTGTTTTCTAGGTCACCAATTATATTTTCTTTCACTAGAGTGCAAGCAGGTTTGTAGGAAAAACATGGTTGCATGTAGAATCGTTTCAAGATTGAAGCTTAAAACATTAATCCCTTATTCTTCACAGCAGTGTCTTATAGCAAACCTTCTCCACCTATACGTGATCACATATCACTTCACTATGTGTTTCATGAATACCGTACTAACAAAAGATCTTAAATGTTAGGTTTCTTGGGAGTTATTTCAATATTTGTAAACAAATTTTAACAATAACAATATACATGTACTTGCATGGATTGCATTCATTCATCGCACACCATCAGATTGGGACTACGATTATAGCGTCGCTAACCGAACACCCTCCTCAGGCAGCTTTCATACTAACCCTCGTAGGCGGAAACGTCGTGGTAAGATAGCTCTCGACATATCTGTGGTTGTCGTCAGCTAAGTCTGTGCTCCAGCCAGCTCCCACTGCAGAAATTTGTCCTCTTCCTTTCTATGATTTTATACTCAGTCACGAGATACAAGTGACTTCATTTGTTTATGCTTTGATATAATTTTAACAATATTCAATCTCTAATATGTTCCCCTTGTCACTTATTTCACACCCAAAATTCCTTTTCAGTCACTTCACTTGTTTTTTTTTTTATTTATTTTGTATTTGATGTACTATTATTGACCGTTCAATAGTTCATTTTCAATCATGGTTTACTTTTGTTTACTGTTATACTATCGATGTACAATCTAGAGTACAATTTTTAAAACTAAAATTTTACACTATTAAATAGTTGCATGCATATGTTGATGTTAATTAAGCAACAGTAATTAAGTCATCATCTAATTAATGTTCATGGTATTTTTATTATCTGGCTATCATATGAAGATAAAAGAGGGTTTCAACATTTCAAAATAGACTACAGCCTCTAAATCATTGGGACTTCACATGTCTCAACTATCATATATCAAAATAAATATTGAAATAAATATGTGAAAGATTATGTTTACAAATTTTTAAATACTTGCTACACTTATGGAGTAAATTATAACAAATTGTAGTGTAATATAATATTGCATGAGTGATATCAAATCTGTATTTTTATTTTAGCCCCCAAAGTGAACACCCATTCTTATTTCATTCCAACTGATTTAATGTCTCATCTATGATTTCTTGTATATTAACATAAAGCATGTGTATCAACTAGTGCAATTTAAAACATGTATATTTCATAATTTATCAACACATGTATTAAAGCATCAAGAAAATCAATTTCTTTTATCATAGACTATATGGTTCTATTTCCAGTTTTGTTCTCTTTTGAATAATGATTTTCATATAACAAGAAAAATAAGTCTTATATTATATATTAGTAATTTGAGAGAAATATATGAAGATTTTGTCTGTGTGTGTATATAAATTAAATTTTTGTTGTTGTATGTTTGCCTTTGTGTTTGTAATGTTATGATCTAAATCACACGCTTAAGATTTTTACCTGTCCCATGTTCTCCAAAATCAAACGCTTGTACCCAAATGGTTTCAAAAAGTTTAAAAGCACAATGTTTTCTTAACTTGCATGTATATTCCCCTTGTCCAAATATTAGATAGGAGGAATAGTTTGAAACTAGGAATGATGACTACAATGATCAACTTAACCTATCTATTTAATTTAGTTCCCTAATGTCAGGGACCTACCTGTTTTTGTTATGTTTGGGTTTTGTTGTTGTTGTTTTTTTAATCTGAAGGTATTGTGCATTATATGACCTGTAATACACAGTATAACTTTTCAAATACTTTTGTTTTACAACTTTTCTCTCTGGACTTATATTAAAGTCAATTTTAATGAACATGTAGTAAAAACTAATACATGTACATCTACAGTTTATTTATTTTTTTCTTCTTCTTTTTGTATTTCTTGTGTTACATTATTTCACTTCACGTTCATGTTACCAACCTTGCCCCCTTGCTTTCCATGCAAAAAAAGAAAAAAAAGAAGCAATACTTACACTTACCCTTGAGATATCTTGATCTGAATGCTTTAACATTCTATATGTACAATAAATTTTTGTATCTATAGCCTATTATTATATATGTTGCTATGTCAGGCACATTGACAACATTCTCAGAAGGTTAGAAGATGGTATTGTTCTGAAATGCCTGGAATGCCTTGTGAACTAAGATGATTACTCATGTCATTAAAGTCCCCTAACCCAGGTATTTCCTCCTTCCCATGACGAAAACAGTCCATTTAAACTTCACCCCACTTTGGACCCGAAAGTGGGGTGCATTTTGGTGGTAAGCTCACCACAGAGCAAGAGAGAGTTAGAGTCCCTAATCTGCAGTGTAAACAAACTTTGCCAGGACATCACCAGCCCAACCTTGATAAGTACTGCTTGGAACTCCTCCATGATGTTCTAGTCTTATTCGCAGTCTCATATAGGTTCGGATTTTGTCCATTCTCATAGCTACCAGTATACATGGGAGATGCCAGTTTCATCTTCCTTGCTTCACTTTATAAGCATAGTTATATCAGGAACTTCCTGGTTATAATTATGTTCCTTTCAAGTTTCATCATAATTGTCTAGTTCGATATAGTACATGGACACAATTAAATATGATATTGTCTAAAATTGTCAAAAATATCTTAACATCAAAATGATATCTGGTCATTTTTAACTATTTTAATTGAAGCCTTTTTACTTGATCTAATACTTTTATGAGGATGACATAGTCCGCAATAAACTTGACAAACATTATCATCCATACTATATGTCAGAGTTTATAACAATAATTACTCATGAACCTCACACTACAAGGACAACATTCATCCAGATTCTGAGATTGCTCATTCTCACGAAGCTTGGTGTACGCGAAGATATCGGGAAAGAAAGCGGTCTGTAATACCAGACACGCAAGTGGGGTATTTCGGTCCCCGTTCACCGAAAAGTGAGATTCTCCATTTGAAAGTCGGGTAAGGTCGACAAATATAGCCTCTGTTAAAGGCGTTACTCCGCCACCAAATTTATTCGCATAGACGAAATAAACTCGAACGCGTTTAGAAAAATGGTGTAGGCCTAGGCCTATAAGGAAAGGCCGGGAAAACATACATTTTGTTGGTTTGACCGTTAAATATTTTTGAGGTATTAAAGCAAGAATAGAATGTCGTAAATATTGTTTTCGTTACATTTATTCAGTGCGTAATCTGAAGGTCTACTCAACTTTCTTTGCCTATTTCTTGCCCCCCCCCCCCCAAACGGCAGATCAAGGATTTGAAAATAGGGAGTGGCCGGGGCTCAGACGTCAAATTTAAAATAGGGGGGGGGGGGGGTGGTTGTTTAGGCAGACGGCATATTTCTTGGAATTCGTTATAAAGACGGTATTAAAAAAAATAATGATTCTGGCAAGATATGAATTGAATGTCATCAAACTTTTATTTGATTTAATATGATCTGTATACGTATAGGATACAATATTTATTTCCCCACAACACATCAAGCCGTGATGATTGAATGTCCATTGCATATAACACGAAAGAAACAGAAACTCTCAAATCTACAATCCTTTAGAAAGATAATAATTAGCTGAGTGATTAGGGCATTACAAGACATCGAAGGACTTAATCTATTTTACAATAGTTGATGCAACCATAATGGAACATTATGCTTCTCGATATTGAGGATATGAAATTTCAGCACAAGATTATTTGGTTTCAAAATTTTATAGCAGTTCATTAAAGAAACATTTCGATGCTCACTTGTATAATAAATCTCTATGACAAGCTCATTTTTATCACGACAGTTAAACCTTTTCACTTTTTGATACTTAAGATTGTTGAAGAATTGCCTAATTGACTGCTCGGATGATTTTTTACCATTCTCCGAAACCTCTTGGTTTTTTGCTCATGATTATAGCGCATTATTCTTTTTGTCACCGTATGTATTAATAAGCAAATACATATCTGCACAACGAACGTCTTTATGATTATGATGTCCTCGTTTCGTTGTATGTTATAAATTCAATATCATGACGAGAAGTGCGTCAAAAATATCTTAACATCGAAATGATTTCTGGTCATTTTTAACTATTTTAATTGAAGCCTTTTTACTTGATCTAATACTTTTATGAGGATGACAAAGTCCGCAATAAACTTGACAAACATTATCATCCATACTATATGTCGGAGTTTATAACAATAATTACTCATGAACCTCACACTACAAGGACAACATTCATCCAGATTCTGAGATTGCTCATTCTCACGAAGCTTGGTGTACGCGAAGATATCGGGAAAGAAAGCGGTCTGTAATACCAGACACGCAAGTGGGGTATTTCGGTCCCCGTTCACCGAAAAGTGAGATTCTCCATTTGAAAGTCGGGTAAGGTCGACAAATATAGCCTCTGTTAAAGGCGTTACTCCGCCACCAAATTTATTCGCATAGACGAAATAAACTCGAACGCGTTTAGAAAAATGGTGTAGGCCTAGGCCTATAAGGAAAGGCCGGGAAAACATACATTTTGTTGGTTTGACCGTTAAATATTTTTGAGGTATTAAAGCAAGAATAGAATGTCGTAAATATTGTTTTCGTTACATTTATTCAGTGCGTAATCTGAAGGTCTACTCAACTTTCTTTGCCTATTTCTTCCCCCCCCCCCCAAACGGCAGATCAAGGATTTGAAAATAGGGAGTGGCCGGGGTTCAGACGTCAAATTTGAAATAGGGGGGGGGTGGTTGTTTAGGCAGACGGCATATTTCTAGGAATTCGTTATAAAGACGGTATTTAAAAAAATGATGATTCTGGCAAGATAAGAATTGAATTTCATCAAACTTTTATTTGATTTAATATGATCTGTACACGTATAGGATACAATATTTATTTCCCCACAACACATCAAGCCGTGATGATTGAATGTCCATTGCATGTAACACGAAAGAAACAGAAACTCTCAAATCTACAATCCTTTAGAAAGATAATAATTAGCTGAGTGATTAGGGCATTACAAGACATCGAAGGACTTAATCTATTTTACAATAGTTGATGCAACCATAATGGAACATTATGCTTCTCGATACTGAGGATATGAAATTTCAGCACAAGAGTATTTGGTTTCAAAATTTTATAGCAGTTCATTAAAGAAACATTTCGATGCTCACTTGTATAATAAATATCTATATGACAAGCTCATTTTTATCACGACAGTTAAACCTTTCACTTTTTGATACTTAAGATTGTTGAAGAATTGCCTAATTGACTACTCGGATGATTTTTTACCATTCTCCGAAACCTCTTGGTTTTTTGCTCATGATTATAGCGCATTATTCTTTTTGTCACTGCATGTATTAATAAGCAAATACATATCTGCACAACGAACGTCTTTATGATTATGATGTCCTCGTTTCGTTGTATGTTATAAATTCAATATCATGACGAGAAGTGCGTCAAAAATATCTTAACATCGAAATGATTTCTGGTCATTTTTAACTATTTTAATTGAAGCCTTTTTACTTGATCTAATACTTTTATGAGGATGATATAGTCCGCAATAAACTTGACAAACATTATCATCCATACTATATGTCAGAGTTTATAACAATAATTACTCATGAACCTCACACTACAAGGACAACATTCATCCAGATTCTGAGATTGCTCATTCTCACGAAGCTTGGTGTACGCGAAGATATCGGGAAAGAAAGCGGTCTGTAATACCAGACACGCAAGTGGGGTATTTCGGTCCCCGTTCACCGAAAAGTGAGATTCTCCATTTGAAAGTCGGGTAAGGTCGACAAATATAGCCTATGTTAAAGGCGTTACTCCACCACCCAAGTCGAAAAAAACTTGCCACATGCAGTATCGTGAATGCGCCGCGCCCGGCACTCTGAGCGGCCGTTTTTCAGTGTATTTTCTTTTAGTGTTCTTAAAAATTCGCCGTGTCGTTTGATCAAAGAGGTACTGGGCAAGCTTGCCTATTAAAGATTTGGTTAAATACATAAGCCATCTAACCTTTATGTTTTAAGGTAATGATTATATTTATGCAGAAAAACTAAAATACTTGTGACAGTGCGATTATTTCAAGTCGCCCTTATTATGCAGCAACATGACCAATCAAAGTTTGGTCCAGTTAACGCATGTTGGTTGGTGGTTTTTTAAAAGTTTATTTGTCCAATTAACTTCTTTATCTTCTCAATGTTTCCTTTCCATGTTTCCTTTCCATCTTTCCTCATGTTTTTCACTATTATCACCTTTGTTCTATATACCTTTCGGCTGATATTATTCTTTATTTTTCTCCTTCTTTCAACATCTCTTTTCTAATTTTCATTATATATTTCTTTATTTTCTCCTAATTTTATCTTCTTTAGCCATCTTTCCTTATGCCCTTCTTTATTTTCTCCGTCTTTCTAATTTTCATCTTTCCCTATGTATTCCTCTATTTTCACCTTGTTTTATTCTCTCTATCTTTTCTCATGTATTTCTTTATTTCTAACCTTCATTATCTTCTGTTTCCATCTTTCCCTGTGTATTTCTTTTTAAACCTTCTTTTATCTTCCTTTTCCATCTTTCCTTATGTTATTCTTTATTTTCTCCTAGTTTTATCTTTTTCATCTTTCCTTATGTATTCCTCTATTTTCACCTTGTTTTATTCTCTCTATGTATTTATTTTTTTTCAAACCTTCTTTATCTTCTGTTTCCATCTTTCCTTATGTATTTCTTTTTCAACTTTTTATCTTCTTTTTCCATCTTTCCTTATGCTATTCTTTATTTTCTCTTCCTTCTTTCCCTCCATTTCCATCTTTCCTTATTATCACCCGTCTTTCCCTATTTTATCCTCCCTTTATATTTTCCTTCTGCATTTTTCCATTGCCAAGCACATCAATGTTCTCTTCTATACGTAAAAGAAAGTAGCTAGTACTTGCTATAAAAAAAACAATATGAAGTGAGACTTTAGACACACTGAATCCAGGCCTATTATAAATATAGGTGTAGGGTCTGCGATGAGAAGACTATGAATCTGGACTGGATATCAGATACCAGCTGGTAATCCCTTTATCAGTAACTAGGCTATGATTGACCGCTGTCTCTCTCCCCATGGACCCTACTGGTAATCCCTTTATCAGTGGTCAGTGCTCCTATCAGATTATGGTAGCACCAGGAAAAGTGGTGAACTGGTGAGCAGAGCTCAAATGAGATGTTTTCCTAATGCTTTCACGTTTCCAATTCCCTTGAGCCATCTCCCCTCCCCTTTATTCTTCATCTACCTCCTTCATGCCCTTGCCCCCTTGAAAATAATGTTAATCTTGTGTTTTGTTTTCATCCTCAGATAACGACTCTGATTCTGACAGCGATGCGTCGGTTCAGCGCCAGAGAGACAGTATGTCCTTAGCATCATCTCACTCTTCAGATGATGAGGAGTTGGCTCCCCTCCCTAATAAAGAACAGTGGAAGAGCACACCCAAGAAAGTCAATTTACCAGGTGAGGCAAACATTGGAAATGTCTCAGTATTTCAGAGAGGCAGGGTACCCCGGTGGTGGTTGCTATAACAAGGCCTTTATTGTGTCAAAGAGGATTAGACTGTCATCAGAGAATTATCAGATTAAATTCTTCAAGTATTTTACAGCAGGATCTTAACTGAAAATATGAATTTTTAAAAAGTTGTAAAAAGATTTATTTCATTTCAAAATCTTGTATGATATGTTCACATTGAAATTGGAAAGTGTGAAGACTGGTTTACATAATAAAAATAATAATAATAAAAACGTTACTTATAAAGCGCTTACCACTGAAGTCTCTAAGCGCTATACACACAAAATAGACTGATATACAATTACATCTTATACAAAACTAAAAATGCAAATAGACATACAAATTACAATACATATGGAATACACGTCAAAGTGAACAGAGTTAATTAATCATCAAACGCAATTTTGAATAAATGTGTCTTGAGACTAGTTTTGAATAGGTTAACAGTTTGACAGTGGCCAACTTTGTGCTTTTCTGTTTCATTGCTGTAACAAATGGCAATATACATTTCTTCTTTATATATATATATTTATTTAGTAAGACCTTATATATATATATATATATATATATATATAATATATATATATATATATATATATATATATATATATATATATATATATATATATATATATATATATATATATATTTATATATATTTAGACCAAATTGAACAAGCTACACAGATGATTGAGTAATTTGAATAAAAAAAGTCAGTGTGCACCTCTTATATGTATATCACACGTGGCAGTAATGGGACTTGTTTGCATTGTAATTTGTATGAGCTTGCTTTTTGAGATGGGTCTTATTTTTCTCATTGCAGATAATATTCCTCAAACTGTGATAGCACCGGTCCATAGTACACCTAAAGGTAAGTGTATTCCAATGGTTTGATAGTGATGACGGTAATGTGACGATTGATAATGCTAATGATAATGATATTGTGATAATATGGTGACTATGATTGTATTAGTAATGTAAGTGATGATGATGATGATGATGATGTTAGAAATGATACATTAGTGAATGCAATGATGATGATGATATTGATTGTGATATAGTGATAATGGTAAAATGATTATATCAGTTATGAAGAGAAAGCTTAATTTGATGATAAATGTATTATGTAATAAACTGTGATTGTCAGGATTTCCACTTTATTAAGTAAGGATTGTCAGTGATGGGTTAGCATGGTCTTTTAGAGTTCTCTAAAATAAAAACTTTTACAATTCAGACTTTATTTGTGCTTCAAGTATTTATTTCTTCATTTTATGTAGCATTATGTTTTTAATTCATTTCAATATCTCTGATTTTATAATTTTGTTATATGAGTTCACCTGTTTCTTTACCTTTTGTGCAGTAAAACCTTCACCAGAAATGCTTCACAAGAAAATCTATTCTGGGGATATCTTAACAAGTGATAATGAGACGCGACATAGAGCAGAGCTCAAGATATTAGATCCTAAACTCCCTCCCCCAGAGAGTGATAGAGAGGGGAGCCAATACAGTGGCAGTGTGTCAGGTTAGTCATAACATCAGCTCAGAACACTTTATATGTAACCTATACTTTGAAAAACTCTTGAGGTTATACCAATTAATAGAATTTTGCCTTGTGAAATTTTTGTGAAAGTTTGACAAAACAGTCAAATGATTAAAAAAAGGGTAGAAACTTTCATTATAGATCACCAAAGTTATTGTTTCCCTTCATTTTTTCATATACATGTACTGTAAACATGTAATATAATAAATACATACTCACTGGTTATAAAGCTAGAGAAAGTTACACTTAAAGAATGCCAGATTAATCTGTGTCCAGGTATTGATAAAAGGAAAAAGCTAAAGAATTCTTTTCATTTTCCCTCTCACAGCATTTAAGCAACAATGTTTTCTTTGATTGTGCAATACATTTTTGGCAAGACTTTTTTTTATCTTGATATTTGCTGCATATCTTTAAAATTGATTTCATTTTATTTGAAAGTCTCAGAATTCATTATATTTTTCCTGCCTTCATATTCTAAAATATTACATCATTATTGTTTGCCGAGTTAGTAATTCATGTTACCATTAGTTAAACTCCACCTTCATGTGTATACCATATCCTCTCCACCCACCCATCCACCCACCCTACAGGAAGCCGGACACACCTACCAGCTGTCTCCCAGCGTCCAGACATCCTGCCCTTGAAGGGTATCATGAAGACCCCTGGTAGCTCCCACAAGGGCTCACCCAACACCTCTAGCAGCTCACATAGTAGCCTGGCCAAGATTCCGGCCGATGTCATCGGACACCAGGACAAGCTGACCGTCCGACCCGCTGGCGGTCAGGGCGACAACGATTCAGAGTGCGTGCCTGTCACTGATCTTTAAATTGTCTCTTTCTAGTTTCTATTTCAAAATCAATCTCTGTCTTGATCACTTTATAAGCCCTACTTCTCAACTTCAGGTTTGTTTACATATGCTGAGTAAGCTGCAATGGTAGAGTGTACTACATGAATAACAACCCATGGCAGCAGCAGCGGCATATGTGGACAAACCTTAAATACCTTTTTGACTTGTGAGGAATAGTACTTTGACCTTGAGTAGGATCCTGACAACTCTTTTGGGGCTTCATCCAGATCTTACGATGTAGGAAGTGTAGTGAAAGGTTGTTGCACATAATTACATATCCAGATTGAAAAGGTCATGAGTTCTCTTTAGCAAGGATCAAAACCCTTTACCCACAAATTTTAAGTTGAAGAAGCTCTACCTGTCTATATGATGAATCAAAGGAATTTTAATAGACATATATGTTGTATATTAAATGCATAGTACTCCCAACACTTTCACATCTTTGGTATCTAGATTACAAGTACTTCAACTTAATAAGTTTTATTCATATAATAATTGAATCCTTTAACATGCTGCTTTGTAAAGGACTCATAAATGAAACAACATGCTGAATAGTTACGACTCGTAAATACCCCAAAATATGATGGCAGGAAAAGGGATTAGCATACAATGTTGGCACTTGATATTTTGCCTCAAGATAAGAATTTTATGGAATAAATCCAGTTCTATCATCTTTAATGGAAGGGATTAGCCCAGTTAATTGATGCCTTAGACCATTCAGCCATCAATTTGAATGTTGTTGAGGGAGAAGGGAATGAAGAAGGCAAGACGGGCGGATGTAAATAAGACTTTTGAGCAGAAGGGTATATAAAGAGGCAGTGTGTGGACAAGGAGGAGTGTATTATACTACCGGTAGTATGATGGAAAGAAACAAAATATTATGATGTGTAATTACAGAGGATGTCTTGTTTTTTAAGTGTGTGTGTTTGTGCTGTTACTATTCAGTCATTTACATGCTCTGTGTACTTACAACATTTTCAATTGAACATATTTATAGATGGGTTTGATTTAAGTTTTTGACGGCTTGATAATGAACTATTGATTATTAATTTATGGTGCTTTAATGACAAATTTGAAATGTTGAATCAACAACCTACATGTATTGCAAAAAACAAATTGTAAAAAAGAAAAAGAAAGAAACGTGACAATGTGTTGTGGTTTGGTGTCATTGTGAAATTTGTGACTGCTACATTTTTGAAGATATATATTGTATACATGTTGAAACTATGAATGAAATGAAAGATACACAGCACATTAGCTTTCACAGCGAAATACATCTGAATTGTCTCATTTAATTCTCTAACTCTGTCACCGACTAGAATCTGTTGTATCAATTATTATACCTCAATCGTGTACTAGAGGCATGAACTACATCTGTCTACTACTATGAATATTGCCTGTGTATTGTGATGTTTTGTAACAGTGATTTTTGTGATCTTGTATCAAAGTGCACTATAACCAATGTTTTCAGAGACGTAAAAGAGAATTCTTTACTATTTCTCCAATGCACCACTCTTTGTGCAATATCTAAGTGATTAATATTCATAGGCATTAAGGCAAATTGCAACTCATGACATCTACACATATGTTTTAAACTGTATAACTGCCCTGGATTGAAGAATGTAGTGTAATATGCAGAAAGCCACGTTAACTGCACTTTTAGGGGACTGGCAATTACTGACTTTCAAAGCAAATGAAAGATAAGCCCTGGGGAAGCTCCATCAGGGGGAAATGTGTTCTTGTGCCACCTAGCACATATTTTAGATCAAGAAAGGTACCTGAAAAGTGTGGTAACTGTTTTCTTTTGCCTAGAAATATTTTCCACTTGTGCCCTCCTCCCCAGCAACAGAAACTTGGATCCACTACTGACACCTACTTAATAAAGTTACCCATCTTTCTCATTCACAATTTTTTTGTTTTTATGCAAATTAAAAGAGAATATCATATCAGGTAGACTCTATGGGGTTCATCACACAAAAAAACAAAACATGTATGTTAGGATGGTACATAAACACAGGGAATGTAAGTTGTGACAAAATGCTAGTAGCAAAACAAAATTTATTCCTGAGCATTAAACCATTTTACTAATTACAGTTGCCTCTGTCTGTTTCTCTTTTCTAATAGAGAGAAATGAACTGTCTGCTTATAAACAGTTAAGTCAGGGTGCAGTTTTATCAAATCACTTGCATGTAGCCCCTTGTATCCTACCCCATTACACATGTATGTATGCCTGAAAGCTTGTTGATACACCCCAAGGCACAGAATAGTATCAATGTTTTCATTCCTACCCTGCAACTTGCTATCTTATAATTAACAAGTACTACATATTATCTTTTCTTGAAATAGTTCTGTGAAAGGTATTTTTATTTTGTGAAAAATCTAAATATTTGTTTTCTCTTTAAAGAAAAATAAAAAGATTATTGTCATCAATTAAATTCATCATGATCATCATCACAACTCAAAGGAAGTTACAAAGAGCAACGCTCCCTCCCCCCCCCCCATCTCCTTTTTAATTTTAATCTGCAGTTTCTTTGATACCAGTGAGACTTGGTTATTTCCTAATATTGATTATTGCATTTTTAATTATGTTATCCTGTGCCTTTTAATATTTGAAAGTGTTAATCACAGCATGATTTGACCTTTGTTTTGTTTTTGTTCCTTTTGTTCTCATTATTTCTCCAGTTATGTTGATATAACATCGTAAGTAGCATAGGGATATTCCCCTTGACATACTAACTCAATTAATTGCGCATCATTTGAGGGTGTAGTTTGCAGATAAAATGATTTTTTTTTTCTTTTTTTTTATAGTTTGCAGTGGTATTCATTGGGTTTGCAATTCATTCTTATGATAGATATTTGGGAGGAATATATTTTTTCTTTCTGTCATTGATTTTGGTGAGCTTTTTCTTTATTCATTTTGCAGTTTTGCCTTCCTAATCTATTCTTTTTATTGGAACTCAAAGTTGAATGTATAACTTGATGAAATATCATCTTGAAAATTTTGCAATCATTAAGGTCCATGAAAAAAATGGTTTGTGGCAAGGTTTATGGCCAGTTGGAATTATTCCTGACAATGCACCATCTCAGCTTCTCTACTATTTTCCTTATAAATGACTTGCATGGAAGTATTTTTGAGGTTTAATAATTACAGCCTAGTTTTCTTCACTATTTTAATACAAGACAGAGCATAAGTAATAATATCATTTAAAGGTTAATTGTGTTCAAATTTTGAATTTCTCATTCTTTAAACAATATTTTGCTGTGCATTTTTTTCTTTTGTAATGAGCCCTAAATTAACACTTCATATTTAAATCAGATAGTGTTTGTTTGTTTAATTACCTATGCTGTTCTCTGGTGTGCTAATGAGAAGCTATGGATGACATGTAGAACACAATTCATTCGCCATATTTTTTAATTAATTTAATATCTGAAGGAATAGTTATGCACTTCACCCTGCTACACTGTAAGTTATACAAAAGTACATGAACTCTCAAATTCTATTTAAGGATTTAGTTTGTCTTTTGTAATCTGTACAATGTGATGGAAACCTGTACATGGTTTACAAGCACTTCAATTGCAAGCTACTTGTATATTAAGGCCAAACTTCTTTTTGTAATAGACAATGTTATCTCATATTCATTCCATCAACATTATTTTGTGCATGCTGCAGCCTTTCACTACTTAACAAAGCATAAATGCATCTTCTTCAATATTATCTACTCAAGAAGACAATAAACATACTCTTCCAGCATATGAAATTTAAAAAAATCATCAGTCCTTATCTATTGTAAAAAAAAAAAAAGACAAATAAATTGAGGCCTATACCTCAAATATTCTTTGTTTTGTTATTGTATTTAAAGCTTTTTCATTTTGATTTTTGTTTCCATTTCGTTATGTTTGCATGATTATTATTTGTATTTATAAGTTTATTTTTGTTTTTTGTCTTTCCTTATTTTACCCCTTCCCCTCCCTCCCTCCCTTCCCCCTAAACAGTGGTGGCAGCAGCAACGAGACATCTGTATGACAGTAGTAACCGCTGACAAACCGCAGTTGATGGAGTATACAATTTTCAACCAACGAGGGGGCTATTGCAAATCTACTTGTACAGATAGGCTAATTTAGAAGTTCCGAACCGAGGACAAACTGGAATATTTTAATCGAGAGTGAATCACTCTTGAAAGTTAATATCAAAGTGTACAGTTTTCTTACTTGTGTATTTAGCCTGTATTTGCTCAAATATAACTGTTGTAAACCATGTGCAAATGATGTCTATATGAAATGCATGTAAATTGTACTATGATAAGGATAAGTGGCATTGAATATTTTTTAAATGTCACGTATCGAAAGATTTTGTTTGTTTCTTTCAAGAGGGTGTCTATGATTTGATCTGAAATCTTTTGATATTTGAATGAATTTAATGAGTAATTTATTAAGATATATTGATTTCTCTAAATGTATGCTTTTTTGATAGTACGAAATGAAATAACCATGTCCATCAAATTTCTGACAAGTACATGACGTGATATGTAAATTATTTGTACAGTACTAGTTAAGAAAAGTTCTCTTAATGTAAGAAGTACAAGTTGATGATGAGGAAAGACCTTTCTGCCACATGTAAATTGATTCAAGTTAATCATCTGTCTTGTGTACCATACCACATGAGAATCAATGAAAGCAAAATAACATAGTGACCGAATTTGAGAACCATGGCCGAGTTCTGCCACTTCATGGCGTGATCATCATCAATGATTCAGTGTTTTTTTAATAGAAAGAATGTGCACAGCTTTGGTTGTGTTGAGAATATCAAGCCTCGAAATGTCAACAAAGGCAGGTCTGTCAAAAAACATAAAAATGTAATTATCCAATAAAATAATCAGTGATGCAAATAAGTTGATGTTATCTATACAGTTTAATGATTATTTCATCCATCATAATTCAGTGATGTTTTACTCTTGCAATGCTTGTACAAAATTGATTTCTTTTAAAATGTGTGTGTTTCTTCAAAATCACTGCTAAGCAGCATTTTCTTTGATTTTTGTCTGTCTTTATTGTTTTTATTTATTATTACTATTTTTGCTATAAACATTCTTATGTAATCATGTGTGTTTGAACTAGGTATGAATTATTGCACTAGCTACCATGATAATTATCATTTTGTTGTATAAAATGCCTTGCCATGTTTAAAGTATTTGTATATTTTGGTTAGCACATTTCTTAAATAGATATATTGATTTCCTAATGTTGAAAGCGATGGAAGAGACAGTTTCAGATATAGCTAGATCTTCAGGAGTTTCTAGCACTCCTGATTTGTGTAATTATATAACTCCATGTAGCTTATTTCTCCAGTTGAAGTTTATTTTTTAGATGGATAGAACAAATATTCACCTTACCCTGTATTCACAACTATGGAAATGATTTGTATAAATTTGTATTATTTTTGCATGAAAAATGGCCAAAGACTTCCTATTTTAAGGCAATAGACCATTTAATAATGCCAGCACAGCTGTAAAAAAAATAGAACCAAATGTCCCTTGTGTCACCTTTATTGATGTCTGATTTGCATAATTCCAGAAAGCTGCATGTGATGCAGAATTGCACAAGAATGAATATGAATCTGTGAAATAATTTTCTGTTGGTTGTTCTGTATTCATGGTGTCGGGGGGACTACTAATATGGTCTTCCCTTTCTGAAATTTCTTAGATGCCAAACCACTTTTTGGCGGAAATTAACAACCAGACTTTCTGCAGTAACATAATGAAACTGTGAAAGAGCCATAATAGGTAGGACACGTTTTAGGTGACAGATACAAAACAGGGAATGTTGGACGTATTACAGTGCCTGTATTCACTCTGTACTTAAATATAAGGTCACAATTATTTCATCTCTGTTTACTCTTTAAATTTCAGCGACGTTTTTACCACTTAGTCTCTACTGTGTGAAATATTTCTTCAGAATTGATCATTATTTGTTGCAATTCTACCTTTTTTCTTTTGTTTGTATATGGTCGTGCTACGACTTTTGAGTTTTGATACCTTGTGCTGTGTAACAGATTACTAAATAATTAATGGTACTAAGATTTCCTCTTTCAAAATACAATGATCATGATGTGTACTTATATTTGGTACATGTGCTTGTAAATATTGGTTTTAAATGAATGTATTGTAAATGTCAAGAAATATTTGTATTCTATGTGCAGATGTTATAGCATCGGCTGCATTTTGTAAGATAAAAGAAAGATGCTTAAATGTATAAGTCACAAGACACCTAATGGAGGACGAATACTGTATGACACTGAATTTGAAGAAGACAATATTTGATAATGGAGAATAAGAAATTGAATAGTCAATAGAACAGTTTTCAAATCTTTATTATTTGCATTTGAATATGAATTTTGTTTGTATTTCTCTTTTGTCATTTTAAATGCTTGAATTGATTTAATACTTGAATGTAATTTGTGATTTCTTCTGAAAATATGATTTGAATTATGCAATTTTGTTATCTTCCATTCAAAATGACTCAGTGAGCATCCAAGTTAGGCTTCCTGCATTTCATTCTTTCTTTCTTTATGTTCTTATTTGTTACATTTTTGCCCAGAAAATAAGTTTGATGTCAATGTTTGTATTCATTAGAAGTTAATAAGTTAAGTAGCAAGACATCACTGTAAGAATTAAATAGATATCTTCTGTTCAGACTCAGAAGGGTGTTAGCTCATGTACACATATTTAATTCCCTTCGACTCCAAGCAGACCATATCTTTCTCTTTTTTCTCTCTCTCTCTCTCTCTTCACCATGCACAAGCATAGATTTGCACATTTAGATAGGGGAGTTGATAAAGATAATTATAGATAGACAGGTAAGATTTAAACACCACTTTCTTCCTTTTAAAAGATAGTAACTGAAGGCCCTTGCACATTGCAAAGAATAATTTGGCATACGATTTGTTTTTGTTTACAGATTGTAGCCATTTATCCTTCTCTGTATAGTAAAATTGAAAACCTTATCATTTGAAGATGATTGTCATCTTTCTTCCTTCTCATTCTTCTTCCATTAAGAAATTTAAAGAAAAGCAACACTTTGGTCAGCCTTTATGAGCACCTGTTTTTAATACTGTTATAATGTGTGTCTTAAAAATATGACTGATGTTTTCACAAGACAATGATCATTGGATTAACATTTCTTGTTGAATTTAAGTTTAACCAATGTTGTGTCTTAAGAAGAGAAATGACTTTGTATTCCTTGTGTTGATCATAAACCCTGTAGAAAACTGACTAGCTAACCAATGACTGTACACTGTGCTCTTGTAGTCTCTATGGAAGATATGTTCAAATGTAGTCACTTCTTTTTGGACTGTCGGTTGTTCACTTGTCTTGCTTAGCTTGCTGTAGATGTAAGATAAAAAAACTGAGAATTAAAAAATGCAGTCATTCTTGTCAAAAATTGAAATATACCATTCCCATTGTTTGTTTTTCTTGTACGAGTCTTGTGGTGAAGTTTTTTTTTTACAAAGTCTTTGTCATCTCTCCTTAATTGGAAATTAAAGAAAATCTACATCACACATCAAATAATTGTATTTACAAATATGTATTTATTCTGCATGTACTTAATAATGGTCACTAGGAAAGGTCAAATTAAATCAAAATAACAAAGAAATATGGGAACAATTCATACTCAGCTGGCAATACAATACACATCCTATGAATAGACTTGCAATACTTGTCATATAGCTGTTTTTCACCAACATTTAGAGACCTGAATTTCATTCTTCCAAACTGAGTAACAGTGTATGAACAAAGTGTAGTGTACAACCGAAACTAAAAAAACAAATATATGTTTAGAGAGATTTAGGAAAACATACATCCCATATTTAAGCAAATTTAAAGGAATTATACATAATTGTCTGATACAGACGCATAAATATATTTCTTAAAGGCAACAAAGAAGAAAGAAAAAGAAACGAAGACCAAAAAGTCTGTTATGAATTATTATTTATATGCTTGATATTTTAAAAGGACTCCTCATAATTCATAATTATAAATTCAAAATATACTTAACACCGTTGGAAACACTTTCAAACTGTATTCAAACGGAATGTATGCTGAAAAACGAGCATAAGTTACCTCAAATGAGAGGTCATACTTCTCTCAAACTTGAATTTGCCACAGGAAAAAGTGAATGGCAAGAAATATGAGAATTCTTTCATTAATATATTGGTTTTAAATGACTAATTTATACCTCTTTAACAGCTTAGGAGAAATTGAAATATGTTAAAAAATTATGTGGTTACATAAATAAATACAAGCACTTTAATCCATCTGAGGTCTTCATTTTTAGAATATATGGCACCATAGTGTCAAAAGTAGTCAAAATTGGACAATATGTTACAAGAGTATCTGAAGATTTGTATTCAAATTTACTTTATAAGAAACAACCTTGACATAATTCATAAAGACAAAAGCATAACATTTTACCATCAGGCAGAAGGAGTACAACCCAAGTCTGGAGTCCTGAGACTATTTGACAGGCTATCATAAATGAGGATCTATCGGACCATTACAGATAATGTAATATTTTAAACATTTTAAAAGAATCTATATTTCGTAGAGCATTATTAAGATCTAACACAGAGTGAAATTCTATTGTATAAAAAGAAACGAACAATACAAAGAATAAATGACAAACGACAAAGAGAACAGACATCAATGGCAGGGCTAAAGGGCATTAACTGCACTATTGTTTGTACAATGTATACTGCATTAGTGCCCTTTAAGCTCTGACATAATAAAACATCGATTGAGAACAAGAAGGTAATAAATTCAACAGTCTTTGCATCTTACATGGCCAAGAAATACCTTAAAGTGATTTAAGTTTAATTCTTCTAGATTTTTTATATCCACATGTATTTTCAGAAAAAGCTTCTATTAATTGAATAGCATTTATTTTTTCAAGCAGCTCAAGGTTTGACACAACTGCAAAGGTGGTGTCAATGATTTGAACATGGTTTCAGATAACAATTTAATTTCTTAACCTTTAGTCATAGCTCTAGGGTTTAACCTCTTTGAGATGAATGTACCATCACTGATTTCTTTCATATCACATACGACATTAGAAAACTACCAGGTAATGGTTTCCATTAATCTTGGTGGCATGTAAAATTTATACTTTCACCAAACAACTAAACCTCTTGAGAGGGTCAGTTCGATTTGAAGGTAATAAGCATGTAAATCCTATAACCTTGAACTTATCCCTACAACCAGTGATCAAATTGAACGATAAAATGATTTTTACAACAGAAGCCACTTAAAAGTCACCATGAATGTGCATTATCATCATTACATTCGAGTGTGTATATCTTATGATGACATATTAGTGGTTTAGCACCATATTGAACCTATCCCTCAATTTTGATGTTCATCTTCATGACAATACCTTTTGAGAACCATCTCTTCTTGTTCTCAACCGATTACTGTATAAGCCAATATTTTCATGACTAGACTATTCCTCAGATGACGGAGAAACATATATTTACACTAGATCTTCTGTTTATGGTAATCAGCACATGCTACTTACAATACATGTTCGCACCTGCAATGCAAGCTCATTTTAAATTTCTTTTTTTCCTTCTGCATATACATTGTCCATTTATTTATGTCTTGTTGAATTCACAATCCTACAACGATTTGTGAAATTCAAGCAAATGAATTCCTCATGAAAATAATGGCTTATACAATATTGATCTTATCTACAAAGCGATTATTTTCATTGTTCAGGTTGTGGCTCTGTAGCTGTAATGGCCGGTGATTGGGTGGTTTGAGATTGACCTTCTCCCTTGTTGACATCGCTTACACACACCCACTGGCCCTCTAAGGATTCCTTCCATAAGCTCACCTGTGCCGTGCAAGGATAGAAACAATGTATTATTTTCATTAATAGACCAGTTTGGAGTATTAATTACAAATAAAGTATTCACAGATCTTTAAGAATGGAAAGATGCCACTTTGTACATTTTGAATGACCACTTCTTTAAAAATATATAAATTATTGTGCTGAACTAATGTCCCACTATTTAAATCACAATGATACTTTACAATTTTTCACACAAAGTACCTATCCCAATCATAAAAACAAAGCTGGCCAATTTGGAAACTTATCACAGCTGCACATTTCTTTGTATAAAGAGATGGGAAAGTAGCTTACAAGAAAAGTGCTTTACTGCCAAACATTGTTTTTGTTTTCAATTTGTTTTAACTTCATCTCTAATAAGATTGATCATGGATTAACTTTTTCAGTTCAAGGTATTATATTCTGGTTGCCACATCAGAGCTCAAAAATACTTTGGCCATTGCCCTAATGGTATTTGGAGTTGCACTAACTCCAAATAGACAATATCTTCAACACTGAAGCTCATTGCATTCACCTGTGTCTTACCTTATTATCTCCCCCTGATACTGCCAGAATGTTACCAGTCACTGACCAGCTTACATGCCACACAACGTCACTAAATTTATTCAAAATCTGAAAATAGAAAATTAAAAAACGTTTGTTATACCTGTAAACAACATATAATCCATTAAAAAAAGACAAAGAATTGAATATATTGTTTTGTATTGTGAATAATTTGTAAAATCTCATACATTTTCAACAGTTTCTTCCATTGCAAAGAGGAGAATGCCTACGTTACTTATAGGGTGTAACCACTTTTCACTCTTCTGTAACTACTATGCTATTTTAGAAAAACTACTCTTTTTAGAGAAAACATTGTATTAAAAAACTAAACTCATAAATGGGAGAGGAGAACTATGACCTTTAGAGAGTGCTAAGTGTCTGAAGAACTCACCTTGGGTGTCCATGTACTGCCGGTGCCTTCATCGTTGGTCCAGATGATAACCCTACAGTCCTGTGAGCAGGTTGCTATGACACTGTGAGGAAGACCAATAGAGGGCGCCCATGCAACGTCTCGTACCCAGTCACTGTGTGCCTCCAGTACATGCTCATCCTTCCACTCCCCATTCTCCTCCCTGCATCATGCCAATTAATATTGTTTTACATATCAAGAATTGAAAGACATACTCTATGATTGTGCGGAACAAAATAAAGCTTACATTATACATTTGCATGCTGCAAGTTGTAACTATTTAAAAGATAACAAATCTCAAAGTCTGAAATAGAATAGCAGAAAAATTACACCACAAACTTTAAGTATAGGAGTCCGCAGCTGAACATATTGAATGTATGTGTGTGTGTGTGCGATTGGGTTTTTACAAACATATATCAGCTATGATTATTTACACACGAGGACAGACCTTTAACTTCAACATCTAAAAGGCATGACTCAGTTTCTAACTGCAGTCCACCAGAGTCAGTTTGTAGGCGCAAAAATGAGTTTACTAAGTAAATGCACCCTTAGACAAACACACTTCTCCCTATAAATTGTAATACAATAGACTTACTTCCAGACTTTGACAAGATTATCGCATCCTCCAGTCACAAAGCGTCTGACAAGGTTTGGTTTCTGACCAGTGGGAGGTTCAATGAGAGAGCCAGGCTCTACAGCTGGAGCCCAACTCACTGAATTACAACCAATCTGAAATATAGGCAAGTCAATTTAATGGTCATAATAATAAAATAATAATAATAGCCTAAAATAGTCCACTCCAAATTTTAATAAACCGAAACGGAAATTCTTTTTGCCCAATTGATCAGTATCAGTAAAAATACAATATATAATTTATTTCCTTATCATTTTTAATTGATCTGGAAAGAAATATTTCATGATAGGCAAATAATGTGACAGAGCCTGCTCTTGGCAAATGACAAAATACTTTTTGCATACAACATTTCACTCCAAAATCCAATGACTTTAAATGGGAAAGCGCATACACATCTTTAAGATAAATATATATATGTTCGCTTATGGCTCGCCTAATTGCCTTGCTCTATATTAAACTGCATGTACTATGTAGCCATGTATTACATGGTGTAACAGTAACAATTTTCAAAAAAGATCAACGAAAGAGGAAGATCCTGACAAGACAGGAAACAGGTAGATAGAGAAACATGTCAAGACAAATCTAAAGAAAGTCACAAATATACACACTGACAACGACATAAAGAGAGGAGAGAAAGAGAGAGAGAAAGGGAAAGAGTGAGAGAGAAAGAGAGAACAAGATATATATATATATATAGACAATGAAAAAGAAAAAAGAAATGATCAGTCTTACAGCATGAGCATCCTTGACCTTCTGTGAATCCCATTTGCCATCATTGTGTGTAAGGACCGAGACTGATCCATCAGATGAGGCTGCAGCCAAGACTAGACCAAACTCGCTAGGAGCCCACTGTACAGAGTTTACTGTGTAAATGAAAGAATGTATCCAAGTTGTTACACATTAGAATTATCCACTCAACAAGAAGATGTGCCCCTCTCATGGGCTGGTGGCAAATTATGCCCAAGAATAGAGCAATACAACGGGTGTTTGGACTCAAAAGATCTTCATTTATTCTTCTAGCAACAGCGGTCTATCATGAAATCTATATTCATGGAAGATATTTCCTGCCTATTTTATTGAAGAAACAGATTTGTAAAGACAGTTTTCACTGTCTAGATTCTATTTATGCCAATTTTTGGAAAAGGTGGTGGCTCGAAAGATGATAGTTTTGTATTGCGTATGGGGCAGAATCCTGATTTCAAACCTGTCAATATTTCCTCTGAAAAAACACCTCATCATCATCATTTAATAAACGCAATCACAATCAAAATTCCAAGCACTTTTCAAGACTGCATTCTAAACAAAAGACCTTTTCATGGTAAAAGTAAAAGACTGGTAAAAAAAAAAGAAGCTAATTTTTGTATAGCCCTGTATAGTTGAAGTAGGTGTGGATCTCTAACCTGATGATTCATGGTTGCCGTACTCATAGAGTTTATCCCAAGCACCATTGGTTTCTTTCCAGATGATCACTTTCCGATCATAGGAGCAGGAAGCCAGGATGTTGCCGTACATGGGATGGGCCCAAGCCACCTGCCAAACTGGACCTTCATGACTGCAAAGACAGAAAAATGTACACAAATAACATTTTTACTTCTGCAGAGTATAAAGCCTTTTTAAATATGATTAACATGGTACCTACCTGAAAAGCAATAGTTGCAGCAAAAGAAACAAAGAAGGGCCTTAGCCACCAGCCATGCTAACCCTTCATGATAGCATGGGCAGCGAAATGTGGACATGAAGCATTTTTTACTTTGCAGATTGATTTCCTTTTGCTAATTGGATTTTAAAGTCAGGAAAGCAAGGACTTCCAAACAATGATCACCTTTAAAAAAATCTTCCTAGGCAACGATTGTATTTCACAATATTATTTTCTCTTACTACACAGGTAATATCCAGCTGCCTCCAATTATCTGATTATAATACAATAATTCAAGCTGACATACCTTTTCAAGAATTACTTTTGTATGATTTACCTTTTCATCATATAATATTCTCTTACCACACACATATTTTACAGTTATTTCCTGTGATACAAATCCTTACACAAATCTAAGTATGATATGATAATGATTCAATCTACATACCCCCTCAGATTGGCAACAAGTGTCTGTTGTCCTCCCTTCACATCAAAGATCTTGACGGATCTGTCCGATGAACACGTTGCAAGCCTAATGCCATAGTAGTCCATCTGAGCATCATGCTAAAGATTCAAATAAATGAAAAGAGTAAAATATGAGTAGAGTAAAATAATTTCAGTCAATTTTCCGGAAAAGATAAACAGACAGTTTCTCAAATTTTCTGTGATGTTTTAACCAATCTTTACTCAATAAAAGGATAAGGTAAGAATTCTTGGTAGATTTTTGTGTCAATTCGGTATATAAAAGGGATGTCGACTGCTTTAATATTTGAGGACTGGCTGTTTCTATACTGGCTAATGGGAAAGTCGGCGCGCCGCCCACCCAGGCGCACCTCGGGGTGATAGCAGCGGATGCAACTTCCCCTTGAGCGTATAAAAACAGCCAGTCATCTCGTAGCAGTCGATATCTCTATAATATAAAATGACAACTTTTCTAATCAATAATATAACACTGGTTAAAGGCTAATAGTACAAAGAAGAAATTTAGTTGAATTCTAATACCAAATGCATCTTGTACATAAGCCTCCTAAGTCCTAATACATGTGTGCACATCTATACTGTCACCTGTTCCATAATGAAAGCTACTACTGGCTAAAATACAGAATACTGTTATATAATATTGAAAGATGTAAAAAATAACTTACAATCATATCTTCATGAGCAGTATCCACAGTACTGATTACAGAAACCTGGGAGAGAAAAAGGAAAGGAATAATGAAAACAAGTTAATTAAATTTAAATTGGCATTGAAAATGGGAAGACAAAAAAAAAACAATACACTCTACTTTTAAAGTTCAAAGAAAATTAATTATGCACAAACAGTAAAATAGACATTGACCACAATATGATCGACAAAAGCGTTTTTTTACCAGGGTGTAGCACATTATAATTGTTCATCTAAACATGAAATATCATCATAAGGAAAGCACATATTTTCCAAATCTAAAATAGTTCATGCTCAACATTGCCCCTACCGCAAATACAATGTTCGCAATGAGATCAGCAATCACACACAAACTGCATTGTGTAACCTCCCCTCACTAACCCATACGATGTACTTCAGTCTTTGTATACAGACGCAGTCTCGCCAGAACACCAAAAACATACACCAATACTATAGATCTAGGCCTATAAAAAAAATGAAGCTGATTTACTTGGGCTTTCTCAATTGTCATGGAAGTGCTGATTTTATCTGCAGTGAATTATTTCTAGTGAATTATTTCTAGTGAATTATGTACAGTGCCCGGCCCATTGGTGTTTGGAAATCAATAGAGGGTGTCTTAACATTTTTTCTTACATACTAACTATACCAATGCTGCTATGAGCGCTATCATGACCATTTGCAAATTAAAAATGTTGACCGACTTGCCATTTTTATTTAGATCTAGTCTAGCCTTAATAATATTTTCAAGTTTTTGGCTGGCAAACAATGCCACTAATATCCACGAAGGTAGAAACCACATCGGATAATTGGTTTTACAACAAACCCTTACATTGTCACACAAATCCAGCATCTTTTACCATAATTAGTTCATAATTGCCTTCAACTGATAAATGCCAGTGAACATTACAAAGTCAATGAATTTACATTCTACATTCACGAAGAGCTTTTGACCACACTATACGCAGCACATGGGACTGTTCAAGAAATAGTTGATCAAGATGGAGCGGTTTTTGTTATAAAATACGACAAAGTAATGATATCAAAGTTTTAGAATATTAAGGATATACATTTATTAAATCAATGCGATAAAAATCAATTCAAAATTCTTACCATCTTGCCAGGAAATCTACTATTTATTTCGGAAAAGCTAAAGCGACGTGGCGACCGGTGACAATTTTCTAGAATTGCATGTAGTCTTTGGTTCAGAGTTTGCTTGACTGATGAGGGACTGATAACTGAAAATTAATGCAAATTAAATGACCGATTCAAGCTTGGCATGAGTAAAACAGTAAATAAGTACTATTATTCGATTATATTTACATATATTAATATCAATTTGTATCATGAAGATCTTTGTCTACGGTCATAGAGAGTTATGATGGTTGAAGAAACTTTAAATCTAAAAACGTGTCTGTAATTGTAGACAATACAAAAGTTATCCCTATTTCAATATCACGTTTTCATTTTGACAAGTCAATATCATGGACTTTTATACCAAACATACAAAATCGATAATATGGTAAAGGGGTAACTGGGAATCGAACCCATTATCTTTGCATTGTAACTGACTTAAAAATACCAAATTCGATTCAGTTATACATAGTCAGGGGCGGCGATTTCTCAGTTTCATAACCGGGGAGGAGGGGGTGGGGGCGAAATACGAGGAACGAGGGAGCATAATATAGTAAACGAGAGGGGCGAAGGTGACGGAAGTGACTAACCCCTCACAGGCTTTTGAAGTTTGTTTAATTGAACAATGACATTCCTTAGCAAAACTATAGTATAAAAACAAGCACTATTTTTTTGACACTTTACTTTTACTTTGCCAGTAATAATTATTGTGCCGTCCAAAGCGTTGTAAATATTTAGTAGGTACATTTTAGTATAAGTAGGGAGCTTGGGCATGGATGGGATTTCAGAATGTGAGTGAAACATTAAAGTGTTGAAAATTAGTCATGTAATAAAGGACCTTGACTTAATGTTTTTTTAGAATGTGAATGCACCATTTCCTTTTAGGCGACAATATTTTTATTACCAGGCAGGGAGGGAATCCTTTAAAGAGCATGCGGGTATTCGTTTTTGTAGCAATGATCTATTTTCTTGCAAACATAATAGTGTAAACTGTGCTAACATGATACTGACGGAATACAGATTTTCTACAATATTTACTTGTATATTTTGAAGGATATTATGCGAGGGAGTGTAAAAGAATAGGCTGGGTCTTACGTGTCATTTCAAGTGAGGAAAACAATTTCAAGACATTTAAAAAAATGTTAGGAAATGAAAATGAAAATAATACAATTTGCAAAACCAATAGGATATAATATAATGCATTAGTTTCAAATACATGTATTAAGGACTTGGGCGCAATCGGGAACCACTACGCTGTCGGGGCCGGCTCAGCTAGTTTTTTTTTTCTCCCCCTCCCCCCTCCTCCGCCGTTTTTACCTATATGCTCTCCCGTCATAATATTTCTACACATATTTATGAAATATAAGATATAAATATTTATGTAAACATTATATGCATAGGTTCACGGCCCAGGCGCGTAGCCAGGGCCCCCAACCCCCCCTCCCCCCCCCCCCCAAAAAAGAGAGAAAAAAAGAAGAAAGGAAGAGGACGTAGGAAGAAAAAGGATTAAGAGTCGAGAACGGTACAACGAATCGTCTTCTTTCTCTAATAATTTAATGAAACGTCAAAGCTTCCGCGCTTCGCGCGGGAGGGGGTGGGGAGAACTGAATTCAGATAAGGATTAAGAGTCGAGAACGGTACAACGAATTCGTCTTCTTTCTCTAATAATTTATGAAACGTCAATGATTCCGCGCTTCGCGCGGGAGCGAGGAAACTGAATTCAGACAAGGACTAAGAGTCGATCGAGAATCGTACAAACTCTAATGAAACGTCAAAAGAAACTGAATTTAGATAAGGATTGAGAGTCGAGAACGGTCCTACGAATCGTCTTCTTTCTCTAATAATTTAATGAAACTCCCCCTCCCTGCACCCACCCCCTAGTGAGCGCGCGGATGGGTGAGAATTAAACAACAGCTTATTGGGTTATTCGATCAGCTTTTAAAATTTGTTATATTTTAAAAGGTGTTAAAATCATTATGGGAATTTGTAACTTGCAGCCATCATAATGCTGAAAAGCAACATTATTTTTGTTTTGTCCTGTTCTTTTCTGTTAATCAGTACAGTATTTTCATCAGTATTATTGATCCTAATAAAAATCGATAGAAACTAGATGGGAATCATCTTTTATTGAATATTCACTACACGGGCTGTCTACACCTGGTTATATTATGCATCATAAGAGTGACTATATTAGCCCGGTAGTGTCTACTGATTTTGATGGGGGGGGGGGGGGGGTAAGAGGACATATATATATATATATATATATATTGGGGGCGGGGGCACGTGCCCCCTGTGCCCCCCCCCCCCTGGATTCATCCCTGACCTCTAAGGACAATTACCCCCTGGAAAATCCCCCGAAAAAATAACACCTAGAACAACCACCCCTGACCCCCCCCCCGGACGATTAGCACCGCCTGGGATGGATGTCCTTTGGGCTGGGGGGGGGGGTGGGGATAATTGCTCTCAGGGAGTAGTTGTCCTTTGGGGGGTACGTCCTGGAGGGCGGGGGAGGTAATTTTGCGGGAAGTGATTGTCCAGGGAAATTGTCCTGATACGTTAAAAAAGTTATGCATTATAATTATTAACATACAATTTTGTTATACTATCGGTATACACAAAACGGTGGAATTACATGCTGCCTTCGTACCAATATATTACCACGATTCCGATCATCTTTCTGACAAGTTTTACTATCACTAGTACATTGATTACTAAAAGTTGGTATCTCTTTTATTTGGTATACCATTCATCGCACGCAACGATACCAATTTCTACCACACGCGAACAGGTGCATGCAGCCTTCGAAGTTTAGAAATACCGCATAACCCCGTTGACTGAACTGTGCACACAACCGTACCGGTAACTGGTGTAAACAATTTATTGAATGTGAAGCGAGCTTCTGCACATTTTGCTTCCAAGATCGAGAAACTCAATGGCTAGCGACGTCACAGACGTGTGTAAGAAATTACAGGTAACTTTTATAACATTTGTTTGCTGCTATTCTTGTTTAATAATTTGGATTCATACTATGATGCTCCTGATCCAACAAAAATGTTGTGAGTAGATTTTTCTCCATAATACGTGGTAACGGTATATCCTCCGTTGCAGCTCCCCGAAGCTTTGGCGTTTGGCTGCTCGACGACCGAAGGAGCGCGCTTGCTGGTCCATGACAACAGCAAACGCGTATTCCCTCGCCCATTCGCTCTAACTATTTCCTCAACCTTTTCATCAACTTTTTCATCACGTGGAATAAAGAAATAGTTTACTCTAAATGTGGTGTTCACGCGATGATAACATATCATGTACCTTTTTTGTCTTCTTTTCTTCAAGTTCAATATCTCTGGAATCATGATCATCCTGATCATAACATGTTAATTACCATTACAAAAAGAAAAAAATATTCTTTTCAAGTTTTATTTAGCAACTGTATTTCAATGTTCATATTATGTTTTTATAAGCGGTACTACATTTTTAAGAAATAGATATGATATAGGCCTATGGCGATGGCTCTTTTTATATTCTAATTTGTCTCAACACATGTCATTTTACTTTGTACTTTGTTGTCGTTGTTGGTAGTAGTTTTATGACGTTCATTCAGTACTGACTGAGTATATAATATATGCCATATATCTTCAGTTATATCACCATTTATTAGGAGTCTCTAGATGGCCTACAACTCTGGATTTCTTTTTAATATGTTTAATCTGGTCAGCCCGGTTTCGATTGCATAGAAATCTAGCTGCTTGATACCAGAACGTTTGATTATCGCAATACTTCTTTGAGGTCAAATATATCTGAGTATTGTGGGAACATTTTATCTTCTACATCATCATGATCACAGGGGATTAACTTAAGTCTTCTGCCTCCTTCAAATTACTCTTCCAACCAGCATAAGGTTAATCTAGATGTGAAACCAAGGATTTAAAAAAAATCCCTTTAGTTTACCAGATTTGTTATATTTTTTCATTGGATGATTCTGTTGATGAGACCATTTAATCCATTTCCCTATCTTTTGAGCATAGCTGCTGTACACACCAAGCATTTTTTTTGCATATGTTCCTCTCCATGTAAATCCTTTGCCATTAAAATGAAAAGACCTGGCAAGGCTACTGTACAAAATATGTGTACCTCGTACATTGTATATCAGGGCAAAACCAAGAATGGGAAAGTGTAGATCAACTTTTCTATCACGATATTTTTCTCCTTTCTTTTTTCTACATTTATGTTAAGGGGAGCTGCAGCTCGTTCTGCTGTTTTCTTAATCCTCCTTTGCAATACATGTTGCTTATTTATTTTTAAAGTTATGGACATGTTTGTGGAAAACTTTTGAGTTCTTGGCTAAGTTGGCTTACTTGATTGCTACCTTACCTATATTGACATTTTAAATTTAAAATTTAAAATGATATGTTATAAATATGTTTATAATTTTATATGTTTTTATTTTTGTCTAGATATTTGTATATTTGTATATTGCTGCAATTAAAATAATACCTGTACCGGTATATCAATTTTTGTCGTCTGTCATCACAAAATATTCTCAGATGAATCACCAATATTCATTATTTACAATTTTGATAGCAGTGAAAAGGCTCATATAACTTTGAAACAACTGCTAAACAATGGGATGTGATAAGAATTAAGAACTGCTTATCCTATCAAATACAAAAAATCTGTTTAAATTTGATAATGTGAAACTAATTTTTTGTTGTAAATTGTAACAGTTTGGTTTAGAAAATAGAGAGCAAATATTGAGTACTTTTCATTCAGTAAGCATATTTAATTGTTTTAATTATTTTATGATGACTTAGAGCTAGAAAAAGTAAGTTGTGATTGAATTGTTATTAATAGCGTATTACATTCTCCATATTGTGATGAAAATTGCTTCATGAAAAATTCTGGAAAGTTAATTCTCTGATAGACATTGAGCTATTGATCCCTATGCAATCTTGTTCACAGTTCTTAAGTTTGTGATTCCGGCACTTAATTGTTTTTGTGCTTGAGTTTATAGCAAATATTGAATCAATGCCATCACTAAAGGTTTTACTACATTAGGTTGTCACCATAGCTACAGGAATGTAGGAAGAGTTGTGAAGTGTGTGTTGACCCGTGGTAAATATTTCTAGTTCTTCCAGGCATTAACAATGTACTTGAAAAAATGAGGTTTCGATCCATAAATGCACAAACTTGTTAAAATCAGACCTCAAAAACTAGTATTGGATGCTATTGACCCTATTAAATCTTACCTTTGTTGCCAAGGTTGCAACTTGAAAAAAAAATGATGTTATTTTTTTATTTCTTGTGAATATTAGTAGGAAGAGTTGTGAAGTGTGTGTTGACCCTTTGTAAATATTTCTAGTTCTTCCAGGCATTAACAATGTACTTGAAAAAATGAGGTTTCGATCCATAAATGCACAAACTTGTTAAAATCAGACCTCAAAAACTAGTATTGGATGCTATTGAGCCTATTAAATCTTACCTTTGTTGCCAAGGTTGCAACTGGAAAAAAAATGATGTTATTTTTTTATTTCTTGTGAATATTAGTAGGCAGATGCAAATGAAAACCAAAGTTTTATTGGCCATTAAAAAGATGTTGTCCAACTGCAAACCAAGAAAAATATTAATGGACTCTCTCATCTTTGTAATAGACACAGAATGGTGAACTTTTGAATAAATTGGACCATTAATAAAAAAGTCATGAATGTTTGCAATATGAGATCACTAAATCTATGCGAATCCCAAATTAGCAATGTAGTCAATGGAATGTGACATAGTCACAGGCTTTTCTTGTTTCTTTAGATTAGCTTAGGGTGCTATTAAGGTTGAATCTTTCTTTAAGTTAGAGACCTGTAAAGGATTTAAATTTGGATATCTTGTCTCATTTATCTTTAGAGCCATATTTCCTAGTATTAAATGTTCAATATGTTGTATTTGATACATGAACATAATTCATAACTAACTTTTTTTTTCCATTGGGGTTTCAGATTGACATTTTACGGTCTATATATGCATGCCCCCCCCCCCATTATAATTTTATTTTGAGGATCAAGAGTTTGAATTGAGGGATCCATTGTTTACCAGATTTATGTTAACTATTCATCCATGTATAATTTCATCCATTTCTTTTCCACCACCAGGGAGTGCAGCTTCAGCTGAGTCTGGTGCTGACCAGGAATGAAGATGTCCTCAAGCACTTGGAAGAAGTAGAGAAGATTTTCTTGAAGAGTGGCTCCTCAGCTGACACGGAACATTTCACCAAGAGTATCCGGCAATCCAGACATATCAGTAGCAAGGTGGGTACAGCAGAAGTTGATAAGTGAAGGATATTCTGGATCATATTGGCCTTTAGATCTCGCCTTTCAGTGCTCCAATTAATCTACATACATGTATCTGTTATAATTTTGTGTATCGCTTACAGTTGTAAATGGTGTGTGTGGAGGGGGGGGGGGGAGGGGTGAAATCCTATAATCTTGCATAGTATGAAGGCAAAAAAAAAATGCCCCTTTTGTAATGTCCCTCCTGCAGAAAAATTACACCTGTATACATGTACTCTTAGAAAATGGTACTTTTTCTTGTGCTTCTCAGAGAAGATTAGTAGTTTACATTGGTATTTAGACATTACCGGTAGATAATGAACATTCATACAAGAGGTAGTACACCAAACATTTGGGATAATTTATTTGAGAAACTGACATATTACATTGCACCCCAGGATATTTACATGTTGTTGTTGTGAAGCCGTGTTACATACCTGGTACATTATGTATTTTTTTTCTTGGTTGTATCACAATTCTTATCATACTTTGCATTCTCAAAGCTCTACTATTATTACTTTGCATTCGATCTTGAATGTATAGATACTTTGTTCATTATATTTGTGTAATTTTCCATTCTTTTAGCTGGAGGAGAGCATTCAGACACAATGCACCTCTATCGGACAGGCCGTCTCAGAACTGGAGCAGAGGAGAGCAGATGCAGAAGAGTAAGTGTGAACACAACCATGCATTCATACATGCATTGTAAAACCTGATTACAGTGGTAGCATTCACACTGGTATGACTAGTTAAAACATTTAGGATAATAGGTAAACACATTATATATTCTACAGTTAACCTGTTCTTGTATGCATGGTATCATCCTTACAAGCTGTTTGAGTGAAATCTCTGACCCATGGTGATTTCCTGCATGGGGAACTACTATCAACAAAAGAATCCTGTGAACTTTGAAGCAGGCCAACAATACAGATGTATGCTATGGGAAAAATCAAGATTGTAGAGATATTATTCACATTTCAGGGTTATTTGATATAATTGACTAATCTGAAAGAGGAAAAATAACCTTCTAAAATATTTTTCAAATTATGCAGTTTGTAGATAATATAAGTCATTTTTGTAATGGAATAAGACCTTTAGTAATGGAATGGTTGTAAACATGAACAGAAAATTGAAGTACATAATTTATGATGTATATTTGCTCAATATTCAGTTAAACTGATAAATTTAATTTTGTTCAAGTAGAAGAGGGTTTCTACAGGCTAAAAAGGATACTCTTCACCATTCCACAGAGCTTACATTATGCATGAAACATTTGGGGCAATTATTCTGTCAATCTGCATTTTTCGAAAAAGGAAACTACAAGTCTCTTATTTTTACAGGGAATATCAGCTAGCATTGAAATAGATCGAATGAGTACCAAATTTGAAAGTGGTAAACATGATTTCACCACATGTATCATGTGTAGGATTACTTTGAAATATACATTTACATTGTAAGTAAACTTCGTAAGAAAACATTGAAGTGTGAAGGCTGAGTTTGTTATGCTACCCACACGATGAAACCCTCTATCATTTTATTGATTAACTCATGGGAGAGGGCCGACCTCCTGTGTACAGTTTGATTATAGAAGGCTTTTTGCTCTTCCGTGAATCAGCCAGCTCTATTATTTGTGGGATGAAAGCACGGAGGAGTGCTTTGTATGCTTAGAGTCAGACAGGGGGTGCAAAGGAAATATATTCAAAGAAAGTAAGATCAATATCTTCAAATGATTTTGAATGACTATATACAATGCAGCCGTACCAGTGCGTCATCAGACAGGGAGGGAGGGGGGCAAAAGTAACAATGCACATTGTTACTGTCATACAGGATAAACAGGATCCATGAAAGCTGGAGTTTGTTGTCCTCAATGTATGTGTAGGCTACATAGGGGGGCAAGATGAGACTTTTTCCTTTTCAAATTAAGAGAGAGCGAGGGGGACAAATGGAGGGCCAGAAGGGAGCGAGAAAACAGGATATAGGGAGGAAGAAAGAAAGAGAGAGAGAGAGAGAAAGAAAGAAATAGTATGAGCATGGAAAATTGAGAAAGAAAGGGGAAGGAGAGACTAAAAAAAACCTGGAATGTGACAGAAAAGAATATTGGTTTTTAGAACACAATCATAAACTGTCGTTTCTGTACAAAGAATTCGGGCATCCTTGACAATTTATTTTTAGATGAAAAACAAAATTGACAATTAGGTGGAACAAATATTTATCTTATTGACGTATTGATAAATCCCAAATGAGCCACCTCCCCTCTCCCTTCTCCCATTAAAAATATTCAAAATGTATTTATTTTTATTTTTGAGTTATTTCATGAAAAGAAAAGTGGTCCTTTTTAATATAGGATATTCCTATGTGTTGTATGTTTAAACTTTGCTATGTAATTAGTCTCTTCATCATCTGTGGCCTAGCCAAACACAACGGACATGCGATGTGGACACAATCACTTTAGATTGTGTTAAACATTCCTTTCCTACTCCTTGAAAAGGTCAATTCCTAACCAGGCTCTGTGTGTGTCTGATTACTACTAGAAGAGAGTGGAAATAAACAGCTGTTTACACACACACACACGACCATGATACAATATTGATTTTTTAACCATGATCAGAATAATTTTTTCATTGAATGAACAAGAAAATATAATAATTATATATTGGCAAGATTTAGATGCACTAATAGTGAATTTATTGTCCTAGTTTGAATGATTTGACAAAAATTCCCTTTGTGCTATGGGCTACAGTGAAAGTCATTGTGAGTGAAATATGGAAGCCGGTATGGAAGACGGTAGACTACATGACTACTCAAAGTACATATACAGTTCATCGCTGAAAACTTGGTATGATTATGCATGAATATATTAAAAACTTAAAAATAAAATGTATCTCCATACAATGCACATTTAGGAATATACCAATTCCAAAAGTGAAGTATTACATGATATTTATGTGCATTATATGTGCCATTATCAAAACTACAATTTATTATAGACCATTTATGATATGAACAATACATACCGGTACATAAATGTGTTACATTGACAATATCCTTGATAAATCACCAACTTAAGCAAGGGCATCTCATAGAATTATAATTGATGGCACTATTCTAACAGATGCTGGTATTATGCTCTATTACCAGTCAACATCAATTTAGAATGTACAGCTGCATGTATGAGGAAACAGATAACTCATGATACATTTGATCCTTTCAAAAGTACTACAGAGAGAGAGAGAGAGAGAGAGAGAAAGAGAGAGAGAGAGAGAGAGAGAGAGAGAGAGAGAGAGAGAGAGAGAAAGAGAGAGAGAGGGGGGGGTGTAGATGATAATTGATAAGAGAAATTAGATGAAGATATATCTCTCTCAAAAGTTATGAGAAAAGAAATAATTTAAGCACTATACAGTTTCAACATGTTAGGTATGCCCCTTTCACATACACATTTTTTTTATACTTAAACTGGTTTAGGTTATATGTTATTGTTAACAAAATAAAAAAATTCTTTTTCCTATTAAAATGATGATTTAAAGTTCTAATGAAAGTTTGTATAACTTAATGTTCACATTAAAAAAGACAAAGCACTGGAAGCAGTACACCCAGGAAAGACAGACGCAGGTAAAACAATTGTTATCATATTGCTTGATGTGTATGCACTAATTTTTTTTTTTTAGCAGGACTGCACTTCACATCAATCAAAATTTTTTATTTCTACTGTGACTGAGAATCTGCAGCAGTATTATAGCTATTTGATGCAATCTTTAAGAGCAATTTAAACACAGTTTCTCTAACCCACAATTTTATATTAATATTGCCCGCAATTATTTGTTGTGAGCATTTGCAGTGTGAGTATCAGCCAGTTTGCTTCCACGTGCACACTTTGAGGGTAGTTGGGACAGAGCTAATACACATTGGAGGCAGAGCAAGGATGATTGATTACTTATTGGATGTGTTGATTACTTTTATTCATGAGATTTGAATGTTTGGAAACCCTCCCTTGTTATGTACCATCATGATCGACTATATAACCTTGATTTGGAATACCCATTGTTTGCCCATTATGCACTCATGGTCATATCATCTGCTGAGAGCCAGAAGGGCATTAACTCCTCTACCTTTACACCACATTAATGCCTTTCTGGCCCTTAACAGATAATAATATCATCCTTGTTTTCACAAAGTGACGGTAGTGAGGAAAATCGTAACGCAAAGTGAATGCAATTTTTTTTCACTACCGTCACTTCGTGAAAACAGCGACGATATGTTTGTAAATTGAGCATTTTCAGCCTGCGAGCTGCTTGTTTGATGTGTTTTTGCAATAAACCAAACAAATTCAATCAAAAATATTCATAAATGTGCAGGCGGGATAAAGAGCTTATTCTCAATTTGATGAATACATGAGAGGAAATAGGCCCAAACTCCATTAAAACAGTTGTGGGTGATGAAGATTTTTTTTCCCCACAAGTTTGAAAGTCAAATGGGTTCTTCATGTATCAGCAAAATCTATTTTATGTCCTGAAGATGACAACCTTCTCTCTCAAAAGTTTTTTCTTAATGGCTAAAAAAACGTTTCTACCATTGAAAGAATATTGAACTTTAGGGAGGGAACAAAACAATTTTTGTAAACCTACAGAGCTGCATTTAGTGAGATGAAGATTATATTAGGCAGCACAGTTATGCGTTGTGACATCAAATATCAAGGGTATTTACAGGCTTGCATAGTTGGGACTCATGCAGTTGCATGTGTTCATTCATCGTGCAACTCTGTTGGTCGATGAGTTTGTAGATTTGGATATGGGTCACCAATTTATGAGTAACAGGCATAACCCTTTGCCATCGATTCTCTAAAGAATACCACAGGATGCTATATAGATCACACCAGCATTTTGTAAGCCACAAAGTAAATTTAGTAATTGCTGGTATTTAATATTACATGCAGTTAAGCTTTAGTGAATAGAGGCGGATTACTTTGAGTAATGCCACGTAATCGCCTGTCCTTGAGGGGTTCTATCATGTGGATGATGATGATGATTGTGTATCCTTGACACAATTTGTTAGATAAATGAGGCATTATGTGGATTCCCAGGGAAAGTTAGCCCTTTTCTCGTGGCGATGTGTCCTAAGTTTGTCAGCAGTGGAATATGTGCAGCATAAAGCTTTGTTCACACATGACATTACACTACCTTATAAAATCATGGTAAACTCAGTACCATTTGATGTAAGATGACAAGCAAATTTGGGTTACAAAAAATAATTGTGCACTACAATCCTGCCAATGACCTCCTGGTTGTGAGACATCTGATTTATGTATATAGTGGCATAGATACAGGGGAGGGCAGGGGCAGGGGTACATGCCCCCTCAATTGAGTGGTGAAAATAAATTAAAAGGAAATTATAAGTGAGAAAATAGAGAAAGGGGAAGGGAGAAGGGTAAAAGAATGAGAAAGGAAGATGCCTGGACCACTTCCTGCACCCTCTCCTTATCATTAGCCTTGTAAATTTGCTTTCATTTTCTGAGTAAGGCTGGTGCCCTGCCCCCCCCCCCCTCCAGGCCCCCATCGTTTCATTTTCCCTTCAAATGGGTAGATTCACACTTTGCCTCTGCCCTCTACCACTGACCCATCACACCAAACCTTGAAACTCTCTCCTCTATCTCTTATTTCAATTTCAAGGTCATCTGAAGGTGACAAGATGTCGAGCCTGGAGTTCCAACTCAAGTCTCAACTAAACCACAATGTCCTCCTCCACAAGGAGAAGGCAGAGCTGGAGACGAGACTCAAGGAGCACATGGAGACCCTCAAGGAGTCTGGAAAGCAGGCTGACAAACTGGATGAGGACATCGTGGAGACCAAGAAACAGATGAAGAGTCTTCTGGACATGTTTGAAGGGAAAGCAATAGAGGGTGAGGAATGACATCATGCTACAGATCTCCAGGGAATACCCCAGGCTTTATTGCATCAAGTTATAGGGTTAGGGTTGTAATTGGGTTATTTTTAGATGAAAAACAAAAACTGCAAACTGGTTTCAACAGTAGAGTTGTCCAAAGTCCACCAGATATTTCACAATGAATTGATCATTGCCTATAAGAAATATTATTAATACCCAACCTAATGTTTACAATTTGAATTATAAAGCCCAAACTGATTTTTTTTTGTTTCTTCTTCTAATATTATATTGCAGGCTAGGCAGGATATTTAGGATTATAATTTCTATTAAAGTACCCTTTAATTACATGCTGACATTTCAACTTTTGTTGCAGCTGAAAATAGAATTGGTGAACTGCGTGAAGCAATGGAGAGGACACAGGAGAAAGCAAGGCAGTACCAAGCCATGTATGAGGCTGAGAAGGAGACTAATTACAAGCTAGAGAAGGAGCACAAGGAGGCTGGAGAAAGGACCAGGGTCAAGATGGAGAATGGGGATGATGAGGGTGATGGACTTGGACCGGTCTTAGTATCAAGGTAGGCACATGCTCACAAAAGAATTGTATGCTTTCATACAATACCTCCATATTACCTTTCTTTTCCTGGTGATGCTACAGCACGTCTGACAAAGCAACTCTTATGTTGGTATTGTATGGTCTATTGTAAACAGGTGGTCAGCTCTGGTGAAGCTACATGCCACCATCTATTGTTAGCTCACTTATGATTGTCAGATGATCTCACAAGTCTAATGAGATCTGGAGCATTTTTTTAGGGTGGAGCTAAGCAGGTCTGAGAAATTATTTTTAAAAATATTTTTAAAAAATCAATGAAATAATTTAGCTGTTTGAATAACAAAATGTGAATTGTATGCATCCCTGCATATCAACAGGAATCAATTTATATTAAGATTTCACCCCACCTTTAAACTGAATGAGAATCTGAAGTAGCCCCATATTCTCTGCTCTTGTTCACATACAGATCTCAGACGTCGTCGGCGAAGAGAGCAAAGTCAACGCCAATTGACCCATATCACATTGTCCCTCAGTACCAGGTAAGAAATATCATCTTTCCCTTGAAAATAGATATAATATTTATAAATTTTTGGGTAATTAATGTTACAAATACATACCTGTCTTATCTGAAGACTTCAGCTGAAAGTCAAATTTGATGTTCGACAGCACGCAAAAAAGTGAATGATATTTTAATTTGCCTTTTATGTATGACAGAAAAATGTGAAGAAAATAAATGATGCCTTTAATCCCAATTCAAGTAATCACATTTGTTTATGTTGAATTTATTTCTTTATGTTTAGTGTAACATTCAGATTGGGGGGGGGGGGTTGTAAAGTTTTCTAAACATACTGACTTTTTATATGTAGTTGTATTCAACTAAAATATGACATGCAATGCTCAAGAAACTAAACTAACGTTGTCTTTCTCCTTTTCTACCTCTTGTTTACCACCAGTGTGTTGTGGAAGAGAACAAGGTTCTAAAAGCAGAAGTAGATAGATTACTGAATGATAATGTACATCTAATCAAGAAGAGTAAGCAAGCACAGAGGGACATTGAAACCATTCAGGTATGCAGTGCATTTAATTCATTCTCACTTTCTATCAATGTGTGCAGTTAATGACAAATATAGGGACATTGAAACCATTCAGGTATGCAGTGCATTTAATTCATTCTCACTTTCTATCAATGTGTGCAGTTAATGACAAATGTAAAGGGACATTAATCCTAAAAATGAAATTTATACTGAAATGAAATATGGATATGCATTGATGATGTAGCATTTGATGCTACCAGTGCCCGGTATACAATGGAGCACAGAACTTACTTGCACCCCAGAATAGTTAACTAGTTCAATGGCTTGTTACAGATGCCATATTTTTTAGAATTATTTGAAGCATTGTTCAGATATGATGTGTCAAACCTCTGCTTTAAAAAGAAATGAAAATGTAAGTCTAATACACTTCACATTTCCGTATCTACACAGAGCTAAGTGAATATGTGTAGGACCTCTGTTGCGCGTAGTTGCCATTTAAAAAAAATCCCACTACGTACCTGTTTAACCCCTTCATATCTGAACAAACTTTAAGGATGTAATAGTTTCTTCTAGATCTCATTCTGCACATTAAATACCTTCCAAGGCATCGCCCTCAAGCAAGTCTATTGGAAGTGGTCCAAGTAATAAGCTATAAATGAAGGAATTTGACTTCCCACATGTAGGTGATTATATTCATGACTCACCACTAATAAACAAGGTTGCTGGGTAACCAGTGAGTATATCAGATTGGGATAATTCAGTGTTGATGTATCAAGGCTTTTTACTACATCAAGTTTCTTATCTCATATTCAGTAGGTGTTACAATTGCTGTGCACGTAAATATAACTTCATCAGAGGAATTCATATAATGAAATACAGCAAGATTTTGTTTTCCTCGTAAGAGCCTCCTTAGTAGTTGGTTCAAATCCCCCCCCCCCCCCCTCCCCCTACAATCTAAATGTTGATGAACCTAAAAATGCAGGTAATATCAAATAGTGAACAGCAAGATTATAGATTATAGAATAAGGATTCAGATTCATTCATTTTCACCATTTTCAAATAATCTGTTTGTGTAATAACTTGTACGATTATTTGAAAATGGTAAATGAATACATCTGAATATGAAAGTGCACTCCCGTTAAATTCTCATAGTTGGACAGTCTAATTTTTTAACCATGCAGATAGTATTTTGCATTTTTGTTGTAATGTAAACTTGTGTCTGGTAGCTTCATTTCTTTATATTAATTTATTGCAATCATACATTTGATTTATACTGAATATGTATGGTTCACAATAAACATACCGGTACATGTATTTACATTGTGCATATTGTGCATGTATGTTGTACACTAAACACTTTACAATATGTAAACTGGCATTTTAGTCAAAATAAAAATAGAACATTCATTTAATAATCGCACTTACTCTCGGCCCCCCCCCCACTCAGTGTTATTTAGGGTATGCATATGCGTGTTCCAACCGACCCCCCCCCCCCCTTTTCAGCAAAAGTCCGGTGTGTAAAGTCAATACGGCTCGACCTTTTTCTTTTGTATACGAGCCTTTTTCAGCACCTCCCCTTTTCAGCAAAAGTTCGGTGTGTAAAGTCAATACGGGTCGACCTTTTTCTTTTGTTACGAAAAGGACATTTTGGCAACACGCATGGGGTCCGTCCGTTCTCGGAGTGGGGGGGCTGGGCACTTACTTAACTTGGATTGAAAATGATATACGATCTACATGACCTTTTCATATATTCAGTAGATCAAATGAATGTGTTTTTAGTTCCTGTTTGTAATTTCTATATTTCACTTTTTTATATCTTGATACTTGTTTCAGAACCATGTTGCAACCTGTTCAGGACAGAGGGATGAGTTGAGGAGAAGACTGAAGAAAGAACAGGATGATGTAAGCATCATTGTATGATCAGTCCAGGGCAAATGGGTGGGGAGGGGGGGGGGGGCTACAAGACAAGGGCAACTAAAAATGTGTCCTGGTGGTGAAGCAGATGAGGATCATACTGAACAAACAAAGTTAAAAATTGAAAGCTTTTATTCATATTTGTGATGAAAGTTGACAAGAGCTTTACAGGCACAGTTTCCTAGTTCAGGATATATAATATATCAAATTTGTAGTACCTCACCATAGGATCACAGAGTTAAACAAGTATTCAGGCCACTTCATTCACTCTAGTCTGAAATAAGAATTTAAGATAATTCCAATTTACATTTTGAAAACATACAATACACTGTTTTTCTTCTGAATGGACCAGATTTGAATAATACAATGTTTGATATGGTTATATATCTTTATTATCATTCTACACATGAATATTGACATCCTTCTATTTTACTGATCGATTGATTGACTAGTGCGATTTATCTCATAAACAGAAACGGAAGCTTTCCTCATCAATGACGAGGCAAGCATCAGATTGGATTACGCAGAAGAAGATGGTGAAAGACATAGAACATTATAGTAAAGCTGGCAAGGTAGGTGGACTTATATGCTCTTATGTGAACTTATTATACAGACAAAACCTTTTTTGGTATTAAGAGGACTAATTATACAGTAGGCTTGCGGGTGCACCATGTGAGAGAGAGAGAGAGAGGGTTGAGGAGTCTTGGAAAGGACTCTGACTCGGTAATCTTTCTTGGGGGTGTGTAGTCCTGAAAAAGACTGTCCGTCATCGCCTCTTGACAACGGATAGTCAACCTGTTCGAAACATCGAGCCATTCATCCTCTCCAAGCGCTATAGTTCTCCTTAGAACTATAAGCTAAGAAAGATAACAAACAGTCCTTTTCAGGACTACACACCCCCAAGAAAGATTACAGAGTCAGAGTAGTTTCCAGGACTCCTCAACCCTCTCTCTCTCTCTCTCTCTCTCACATGGTGCACCCGCAAGCCTACTGTATATCTACATCACCATGCAAGCCGACACTTACAAGCAGCATCTGAGGACTAATTACTTCGAAATATAATTTGTGTGCAGGTAGTAATTATAAAATCTGTTCCAAAAACATTTTGTCAACATTCTACGCAATAATAGTTAGGAAGGATAAAGAAAAGGATTTAACAAAAACTTATTTCTCATGAAATCCAAGTCGGACTTGTATCTGTATTGTCTTCCTAAATGCACTCACTCATAAAACAAGGCATGTGTGGAACCCAGGTCTGATATAAGTTATGTGTGCATGGTTATCCCTATTTCTAATAGTCCTTGAATGTTAATCCTTAGAATTTTGCATGAAGTATTTTTGTTGATTTAATACATACTTGCTGTGCACAAATTAACTTTACTGTATTTTTATATTATTATTATTGGATTTTCTTTTGATTTTTTTAAATTTTTTTTAAAAAATTTTATTTTTATTTTTTATTTTTTATTTTTTATTATTATTTATTTATTATTATTATTATTATTTATTTATTTTTTATTTATTTTTTTTTTTTTTTTGGGGGGGGGGATTAGTCCCATTACAGTGGCAAACATTGATGATATTGTTGGAATGTGACAGTTGCAGGATGATGAAATGAGCAAGGGAAAGCTTTAGGTAAAAATGTTAATACTATTTTCTTTGGGTATCTTGTGCATGCATTAAAAAAGAAGTTTAGAGAACATTGACACTAACACGTCCATCAATATGATATTAATGGGTATGTTTCTTCACATTCATCTTACAGTTTTGTCATAGTCATACTAGAATCTGAGCCTCTTTAGTTTTGAATATTACTAACACTCTGTCTATTTTTATGTTTCTAAAGGATGATTCTACTTGCTTATTTTCCATACATGTACCCAAAATATGAATGCTTCCAGATAATCTGTTTCTATCGCTTGTTTGTTAAACCATCATTTATATCGCCTTTAATTCTTATTGTACATTTCACAGCATGTCATTTCCAATAATATGGTATCATTGTATACAAAGGCATTTCTTTCAAACATTTCATCTTTTATCATGTGAAAGATATAATAAGGTCTGTTTTACATGTTACCACAGTTTGACATCATACCGGTACTACCTAAACTTGCAGCATGGCCTGTATCAACCATTCCATGATAGTCATAAAGTAAAAAAATACTAAATATGTAATTATGTGTTAAAATTATTATTTATGTAAAAAAGAGCTGTGTTTTAAAATTGATTACATTGTCAATTACTTGTCAAATCCTCTATAAAGATGTAAATTTAACAATGTAACGCATATAAGAGCATGGGAATCACCCATGTGCAATCACAGCAGTGCATCTTAAACATACCGGTAATCTATTTTTTTTTAGATGTTTATCTGCTTGACTGTTATCTTTGAGACATTTAAACTGTCTGAATTTACAGCAGACAACTTTAAGAAATGAATGTAGTAATGCTTAAATCAAATCTTTTCATCAGGCTTTTTCATATTTGTTGAGTGGTTTGTTTAGGAGATGTAGATCTCTTTTTGTAGGATTTTCAGCAATAACTTTTCAATGTACCGTATGTTGAGGGTTGATGCTACGATTGCACTTCTAGTACATAATTCACATGGTTAAGTATTTCCATTTAACATTCTTCTTTAAATTCTTGCATGTCATTCTTATCAAATATATAAAGGATATTTAACTTTTCATTAACTCAATAACCATTGCATGCCACATATAACATTAAGACATTATAGAGGCTTGTATCGTATAGTTGTGTTTGGTTGCTTTTATGAACTGATATTTCCACCATCTCAGAAACTTAAGTATAGAGGCATTATAGAGGCGATGTTTCATATTATGAACCATAGTCTATTTAAAGGACAAGTCCACTCGAAAAATAACTTACTTTCAATAAAAGCAGATGAATCAGACAAACCAATCAAAAAAAGTTTGAGCAAAATCGGATAACTAATAAGAAAGTTATGAATTTTTGAAAAAGTATGTAAAACTATGGAACAATGAGAATCACCACACAAATTGCCAAGATGGTTATCAGTTTGTGACGTCATGTCCTCACAACTTATCAATTGCTTTATATAGTTTCATCCCATTAATTTCTCTTTTTATCCCCCACAACTTGATTTCCCCATGCCTTTGCCGAGGTTATATGATTTGTATCATATTGCGTGCATCACATTTCCCAAAAAAATTTATGAATTTTGAAGAATTGATACTATTTGCCGAATATTGTATTTCATAATTATTGATTTTTATATAAATAGTTTATCAAAATTCAATTTTTCATGATTTAACTGGACAAAAATTACTCTTTATTTGTGCATCCACACAAAAACATATTACTAACCATCTAACTTGGATGCTGGTGTGAAGAAATAAGATTCTTAGGGTGAAAATAGGAAATTTATATTATCAATATAAAGAAAATAATTAGTGGATAGTGAGGACCATACGTCACAGACTCATGAGTGAGTTGCCAATTTGTGTAGTGATTTAAAAAAAATTCATGTCATTAAAAATTCATAACTTTCTTATTAGTCATCCGATTTTGCTCAAACTTTTTTTGATTGGTTTGTCTGATTTGTCTGGTTCTATTGAAAGTAAGTCATTTTTGGAGTGGACTTGGGCTTTAAACTTGAAGGTTTGTACTTGGGGGGGGGGGGTGAATCATTTGCTCAGCCTCACTGACTTATTTTGTGATTTTTCCCTCTCTTCATGGTTCATGAAAAGCTGATCTATTCTTGTATCGCTAACCAAAAAAGATTAGCCTCCATCTAATGTTTTATCCAATCAAAATGCAATTCAAAACTTTGAGAAAACCATTTGGGGATGATATGGTATCCCTCAAAATAATGCTAAATGTTCCTCATTTTGAACGTTTTAAAATAATATTGAATGTTGCTATAAAAATAAGCTAGACACAGAACCAGCCTTCTGATTGATTTTAGAAAAGATAATAAATTGGGTCATGTTAATAATCAGGTTCAATTATAAACTTGTAACTCTAACTCAACTATTTGATGAAAGCCAGCATGCGTGTGATGGGACTTTCATTTCATATACACTCTTTGTCTTCTTTGTATTTCTTTACGATTCAAGACATGTTCTTATTTACTGTGTTGCTGAGCTTTACACCGCACTCTCTGTTTCTGACTATCTCTCTCTCTCTACAAGGAACTATGCACCCAACAGTGACTAAACCCAGGTACCTAATAAGTGCACCACATTTTCCACTAACTATCCCTCTTGTGTTCTATTTCAACCGCTTTCTCACAACAGGGAAATTAAAGGGGAATTTTTTTTTATAATAATATAAATTATAGCAGAAAAGAGAATGAGAGAGAGAGAGAGAGAGAGAGAGCAGATAAATTTCAATAAAGGATAAGAAAAAATTTATTTTCAAAGTTGTAATTGATAAAATGCAAATTGGCAACTCTTGTGATTTACCTTACAAGCGCCCCTCACATTTTGTCTGTCGTTTCATAGAGGGGGTATGTAAAACCATATTTCCATTGAATTCTTTGCAGAAAATGGAAATCTACAAACAAAGTTGCCAATCTGTGTTTTATTAACTTTAAAACATGGATTGCTTATTTTTCCCTCTTTCAGATTTGCGTTGAAATCGTGTTAACTGTTTCTTCCATTTTGTTGGCTTTTATTCAAGCAAATCGGATAATAGAGTGGACTTCCCCTTTAATATTTTACCTGTTTATCCTTCTCTTTCCATTGTCTGCGCCTTTTTGAAGCTCTTTGTCTCATTTCTTGTTATAGTCTACGGACCGATACGCCCTTTGCTCTTATAGCAATGGATGTTAAATCTGGGCAAATGATACAAAAATCTATTGTGTGGTTAGGTGGAAGTGCTAGCACACTGATTTACTTAATTGAAATATGATATCGCACAAATCCCAGTGGAGGGTACTCATTGCTAACAGGTTTATGCACACACAGGTTTAAGTTGCATTACTCAAAAGTGAAAACATAAATATGTATAAAAATGATTATTATACCACAAATCTTTGGCTGCTCGCAAGAAGGCTGCTACTGCGCATGACATTATTAAGGTCTTTATATAGGCCTTCTTGCCAGCAGCCAACAAAGTAGTAGATATCAAAATTAATTTGAAGTGAGCAAGTATTAAGACAAGATCTGTACAGAGTCATGAAATCTTTAGTTAAAGAATTCAAGTTAAAGTATACAAACTTGTTTGAAAAGGAGCAGTAATATAATAATAATAATAATAGTTCATTCTTATAAAGCACATTTCAGGACCACAGGCCCTCTCAAAGCGCTTTGCAGAGATATATGAATATTAAAACTACTTTGGGCTCAATGTAGGCCTGTTATTCATCATATGATTTGGGAAATAGCAGTAATGATCACTCCCAGTGGTGTCAATTCTCATTGACTTTTTTTTCGCTTGATAGTTTGAAATTTCTCCCTCCCAAAAAGGGAAATTCTAGGGGTTTACAGATTTTAAAAAAGCAAGAAATTTCATGAAAATGGGTCATATATTTCAAAGATGAACCTGCTGCTCAGATAACACATGGCAAATTCTGCGAAAAATATGGTACTTTTTATTTATTTTATTTGGTACTTATATTTAAATACTACTTTGTACCTGTTTTTAGGCATAAGAGGTCATAATTTGATGGAAATGTTCTTGAAAGTCTGCAGATAGGTGATCATTTTTTACTCCCCTAATGGCCATGCACTGCCCTTTGGAATATGAGGTGATATTGGAAATACTCCCAAAGCCCAAAGTTTAATAGCATAAGACTCAGTGAATCTTTATAGACATTGGGCCAATGAAATGTGCTATTTTCTGAACCATGTCGATATACAAAGAAAAGTAAAGGAATTTAGCAATTATGTGAGCATCTCTGGCATGGTATTGAAGACAACATGTTGGGTTTGAATATACATGTAGTAAATCTATTACATCGGGACATTTACGTATTTATTCTTCTTCTGTTATTGAATATTATCTAAATCTACTTTTTTTTTGTTAAAACGTTTCTAAAAGATCATTCAATAAATGTGAATGACACTTTTATTGTTTAGCAGAGCCGCTAACCAGTATGATTTTTATAAGTAAATTCAACAGTATGATTTTTCTTCAATAAAATTCAATTTTTCAACAACAACTAAATCCAGAAAATTGAATGTGTTTGTGATTTTTTTTTTGTGTGTGTGCCATTTTTAATGGCAAATTGCCCATTCTCTCCTGTAAAGCATCCTACAAGCATCTCACATTGGCAATTAGGGGCTGTTCATTGGTTCATCGAACACACCAGTCATGACAAAGTCATGCATATTCAACCAATTATGGTCAATAAAAATACATTTACATGCAGCTCATTGAATGATCATTCATGACAAAATGTTTGTAAAATATATTCATGCATACCGTAATTCTTCAAAATGCCGATGAACACAGTCTAACAAAAAGATAGTACTTATCGATCAAAAATAGGATTTTTTATTTTTGAAAATAGGATTTGTTAAAGGTAATACAAAGTTTTGGGAAATTTTAAATATTGGGTGGATAGTGATCCTTTACAATTTTGATTTATTTGGATTCCCCTGTGGATGTATTATAAGCATTAGAAAAATTAGACCCTAAAACACTTCTGCTTTCGAGAAAAATGGAATATAAAATTTTACCGGTGCTCCCGGTAAATTTTGTTAAATTTCAAAAAGCGCCTACAGCCGTACAATGGTAGCTGCGACCATGAAAATATCAGAATATGTAGGTGAGATGTATAATTTTCCAAATGGGAATAGCTAATCGGTCGATTTTAGTCAAGAAACGTTGTTTTATAGCTTACTTATATCTTGACCTTGAGAGGGAACTATACAACATAAAGAGTTTATTATTTCTAATTTCATAACTTTAGACTCGATTTCAACCGCGACAACGATCACTGCATATTGTATGATCGCATATGCTTCCAATATGTTCATTTGAACGAAATTCATGACCCCATACCAAAACTTTGTATTACCTTTAAGTTGGGGTTGGCAGCTCTAGTTTAATGACTTAAAACAGGATTTTAGATTATCCTAAATTCTTTGACAAATTGCTCTTTATTTGTCCTTTTCCTTTTTTTTTTTGGGGGGGGGGTAGGGAAGGGGCAAAATATTTCAAACTTTGTTATGTTCCCTGCTTTTCCCTATTCTCCATAACACCATTCCCAGAATATAATTTTGTGTTTGGAATGTAGACTAAAAACTTTAAGAGTCATGAATTCTCTAGAGATATGTGGTCGGGTAGGGGTTGTTTTCTCATGGAAGTTTGAACATCTGGAAAGTTTGTTGCCCTTTGAGTGTGTGTGTGTGGGGAGGGGTGTGGGAGGGGTGTGAGAGCAGCAAGGATGAATTCCAAGGACTTGTACAAAATGTGGGTGAAAAGTTGCTTGTCTAGACCCATATTAGAAGATCACATGCACTGAAAGTTCATGGAAACAGGGACATATACACGATGAACACGTAGACATGAAAGATTTATGTTATCATGGCTTCTTAGTTGATGCCAGGGCAATAATAGTACAGTGCTTAGCAACAATATTAACGACTGCTTAAAAGTTAAATGTTACTATTATTGTTATTATTATTATTATTATGTTTGTTTCAGTCTATTCTAATCCTCCAGCTTCGTATTAGTCTTCATAGGTAACACTTTCTATCTCTCTGCCAACTGTTTTATTCCATTTCTTCTAGATTCAACCAGAGTCTACATTATCAGCCAGTGCACGCTATAGAAGCCATCCACTCAAAGTCAACGAAGACAAACCCAGAAACATTCCAGTAGAGAGTTGGTCATCTGAAAACCCGCTTAGAGCTGTATGAGAGAGAGAGAGAGATGCATGGTCCTTTTAGAATCCTAGCCCCTTCTGTGCCACTAAATTGAACAATTTGTCATGAATGTCACAGATGCCACATAAATGAATGATTGTCATGACATTTCAGCTGTTATAAGTATGTCTAAAACCTTGTTCACATATGCAGCAGTAAACTGCAGCCTTTTTTTAACATTTCCCATCTTATAGCACAGAGCAAAGTGAATGTGCATAGATCCTTTGGTGCATTCAGTTACCATTCATTTACACTTAAAAAAAGACACAGTACTGGTAGTTTACTGTGTTATATATAAACAGGCCTTTGAAATACTAATTTCATTTTTCAATTTGGTTTAAAATACATTCCATGGGAATATACTTCCTGATCAGGCTATGTGGCACACTTCTTGGGCAGACTTTAGTGCCCATGGCATGGAAGAGCTTTTTGCATGAACCAAAACTACTCGCACTCTTCAATTTGTGAAATCTAAATTTTGCACAATTGGAAGTTGTAAGTGTATGGATGATCAAACTGCCAGAATATAAATACAGAGAGATCTGTTCACATATTCCCAGGTCTGATTTTCATTTTTATGTACATGTACATGTTATAATATTACGAACCAGAGCAAAATAACACTGAGTTCCTATAGGAAATCTATTTATTCAGAAGGTCGTATCTCAGCCAATACTTAACATATTCAATTGGTTTTTGACATTTGAACATTATTTTTGATGCTCTTTTAGAAAATGAAGAAAAAATTGAGAAATTCTAAAAATAACTTATTATGATGTCACAGTTTTGGTATTCTATAATGTTTACTGTTTGATATCCATCTTGTAATCACTTCAACTGCAGTATTTTGTTCTATGCATATGATTTGAACATTGCGTAGCGTGAGTCCACCCATTGAGAGGGCACAGGAACGCTGGAGGGGAGGGGGTGGGGGAGGCGCTTTAATCTGACTCGGAAAATGAAATGCAAATTTACAATGCTACTGATTAGGGGGATGATGTAGGATGAGGTTCAGGCATCTTTGCCTTCTTCCCTTCTCCACATCCCTATCTCTCTTTTCTCATACAGTGTATTTTGTTGCTGTTTAAAAAAAAAAAAAAATTATTAAGGGGGTGTGTCCCCTGTAGCTATGCCACTAGATTGGAATGCGTTGCAGGGTGAAGTTAAGTTTAATCTTAGCTAAGGAACCATCCCTAAAATGTAAGTCCATTGTATGTAATCACAATTGACATAAATGTCATTACAGGGGTTTATGAGTTGGAAAAATTGAAAAGATGTGTAGTTATTTGTTTAGCTGGAATACTTCTCCCAAAACATATTTGTAAAAGTGTAGTGAACCCGAAAAAGACTTGAAAATCAACCTTTTCAGCTAATTTCAATAGCCTCATGCTTCACTTTTGTAATTTGCAAACATTACAGAGCAATGCGAGGTGAAGCATATATGATTTCACAGGCTATTCAATAAGGTTTTGAAGTTGCCTTTGAGTATATTTCTTTAAAGGCTTTTTGATTGTGTTAGCAACAGAGTGTATATCAGTGTTTGCTGGAAAATAATCCAATTAAGACGTTAAAACTCAAAAAATGAAGCAGATGTGGATTTGCTTGTTCATGGAGTGTCCCTCCCTTCTGTTATCATTACATCCTGAGTTAGTCAGATGTTGACAGTACCCTTAAAGCCATCTTTCCTACTCGGTATTACTCTCTTTTGAAATCATATGTCTCATACTCCCCTGCAGCCCTTGTCTGGCTCTGTAAGATAGCTAAGAATATGCTTCATTTGATCAATGCAAGGCTGAAGTGTATTACATCGTTTGTTGTGAGCCATAAGGGCATTAAAGCTATGTAAAAGTATATGATTAGATGCCATTCTGGCTTTCAACAAACGATATACTCTATCCCGCCAATAAGAAAACTACACCACTTTAATTTTGTATGAAACATTTATCTTAATTGTTTGTTGTATATAATGATGCCTACAAGTATTGCGTTTGAATGCAATTATGTAAATGTTTGTTATTTGATGAATTATTGAGTATTTTTATATGAGACATTTAGAATAATTATTGTTTCACACTGCATCATCATCAAAGAGTGATTGCCTTATTAGTTAAATGAGATGATTTCTCACATGTGATAGCATGTACATGATTGTGACTTATATGATCAATGTATCATAGCAAATGATCGGTGTATCAAAGTATATATATATATATATATATATATATGTTGTTGTAAATACTTATTTAAGAAGCCTAAAGTATTGTTTCACACTTATTCAAAATGTTTCCTACGTTTGCATTGAATTATGTTTCTTTACTTGAATATTCCTTGTACATTGTTGATCCTAAAAAATAAGTTATTTTGGTGGTCTCACACCCAGGGAAGGGCGTATTCTACCTCCTCTCTGCCCTTTTTGGGGGTCAAGGTGGAATAAAGTCATTATTCAGGACAAATCAATCAGGTAATTTATTTTGGTATCATCCTTTAACAAAACATTATTAAAATTTAATCCTTTTTGAAAATGATATTATATTGATTGATAATAAAAAGAAAAAAACATATTGACCATGGGATATAATGAATTTACAAATTTATCAACAATTTTTGTTTCTTTTTAATAACTGTGCCACCAGCAAGACTATTATGCAACATACACAAGACAAACAAGTATTACCTGTAACCGTCCTATTTCTCTTTGAACAACTTATTTTTTGTTCATTGGTATATCAAATCTGACCTTTGTGCTGAATGTTTTATGAAATACATGTACATTTGTATTGATATGTTTCACCTCCGATTCATTTCTTTTGGTATTTTATTTTGATTTGATTTTTGAGAATAAAAAAATGTTCTGTAACAATGTGAATATTGAGTTCAGCGATACTTATTGATTTGTGTTCATGAAATGATTACAAGTTAAATGATTGTGAAGATGATTTATTAAGGAGTTTTGTTTACAAATGTTGAAGGAGGCGAGGGCTCCTGCCTATATATACCAAATGTGTAGTGTATGCCTTTGTCATATCTAGAATAGGGTACATCCGTTTTCAAGACCCAGACAAATCATTATAACTAATAGTGGGTTAAGTCACCTGAAGCCATCTACAGCCGCTTTTGTATATTCTGCCCACCCCCTGCCGAAATTGTGGCCATAATAATATGATGCCTATGTGTAACCATTATGACTAGCAATGTGTGCCAGTAATTACATATGATGATAATGAAAGAGAGACGGAAACAAATGAAAATGCAAAGAAGCTGAGAGAGAGAGAGAGAAAAGAGAGGGGGTGGGGAGGTATGTGGAATGAAAAGAAGTTGAAGACTTTATGTAAATCAAGACCCAAGATACACTTGGTGAGGCTGGAGAAAACCACTTATAGCTCTGTAGAAGATTGGGGGGGGGGTAGCTGGGCGGGGGTATAAGCGCCCACTGATGCTTGTATCAGGGAGACAAAGAATAACTGGTGAGACATGATAATTTTCACATCCTGTGTACTTTGGACCATTTCCAATTCCTTTATATCCGACTACATGTATTTCTAAAACTTTTTGGGGGACAAGTTCGTACGTGTAAATTATAGGAGTTAATTCCTACAATATTGTGAGATGCGCGGGCGAGAAATATTGCTATAACTGGTGAGACATGATAATTTTCACATCCTGTGTACTTTGGACCATTTCCAATTCCTTTATATCCGACTACATGTATTTCTATAACTTTTGGGGGTACAAGTTCGTACGTGTAAATTATAAGAGTTAATTCCTACAATATTGTGTGATGCGCGGGCGAGAAATATTGCTGGAATTATGTTGAGGGCCACTGATCGACTGCTCATTCCCACCATATGCCCATCTAGAGTCATTGGGATGTTCTATATGTGACAGACCTATCATTCTCCTTCCGCTCAAAACATTATCATGAATATTGTTTTTAATCCTTAAAGGTAATACAAAGTTTTGGTATGGGGTCATGAATTTGGTTCAAATGGACATATTGGAAGTATATGCGATCCTACAATATTCAGTGATCGTTGTCGCGGTTGAAATCGAGTTTAGAGTTATGAAAGTATAACTAATTAACTCTTTATGTTGTATAGCTCCCTCTCAAGGTCAAGATATTAATCAAGCTATAAAACAATGTTTTTTGACTAAAATCGACCGACTAGCTTTTCCCGTTTGGAAATTATATATCACAACTACGTATTCAGAGATTCTTATGGTCGCAGCTACTATTGTACGGCCGTAGGTGCTATTTAAAATTCATCAAATTTTACCGGGAGCACCGGTAAATTTTTATATTCAATTTTTCTCAAAAGCAGGACTGTTTTAGGGGCTAAATTTTCTAGTGCTTACGAAACATCCACAGGGGCATCCAAATATATCAAAATAGTAAAGAATCTCTGGCCACCCAATTTTCAAAATTTCCCAAAACTTTGTATTACCTTTAATGTAACGATTAACTTTTTCCCCAAAGCCATACGTAGTAGCGTAATTTATGGTGTAGAATGTATCTGCATCTGCATCATAAAAAGAACAGACAACTGTTTCTGTCTTGAGTTAAATTTTGACTTTAAAAGTCACAAATTTTCCTTGCTAAAAATATTTACAATAGATATAAATCTTAAAATCACAAACTTATTACATTTTTGGTCGGGCGACATGTGACCCATGGAGAAAACTCAAAAACTAGGGGTGTAATGTTTTCCAGAGGCGCATCCAATATAAGAACCCCCCCCCCCCCCCCCCCCCCCCCTCTCTAGATATGTTGTCTTTCACAATAATTTTGATCTTGCGTTGGATTCCTTGTAAATTAGACCTGTAGTTAACTATTGGGAAATATTCATGATAAGTAATTGCACTCGTTTTATTTACTTTTAGGATATGCATACTAAATGCTTTGTACCATGCAATGTAGGTCGGTTGAAAGCAGGCTCATTACCCTGCTGAAAGTGTGCATCATGCATTTTGGCTGTATGTATGCAAGATCGATAATTCCACATGGACCGCATAGCAATGGTACCCAGAACACACCTCTGACACACCTTCAGACGAGTCGAATAATTTTTAGGGGTGTTATAAAATTTCAATTACGGCTTCAAATAAATTTCTCCTAAAACAACATTCTTAAGTAAAATATACTAAATTTATTTGATGGTATTGTTTATTACGTCAACAATTACGTCAAAAATTAGAAACTGAAATCCTTCATAATTTCAAAACATATCCGAGTAACCTAAATGAAAATAGCGTAGTTCCCCGCCATTCAACAAGTTGAACGAGTTCCCGCAATAAATAGTAAACAATTGAGCTAGCTTGCCAATATCGACACGCTTTATTTTTAGGCTACCGCAGGTACTGGTAATAATATTAGGCTAAGCTAGCCTGTCTACGTGTACGTACGAGTTCAAGTACAATTAATCTACATATAGATTTCTGTCATTGAATTGGTCCCGCCTAGCCTGTTACAACGTTACTGCTTGAATCCATGATACATTTTTGGAACGTTAGAATAAGATATCCAGAGTTTTTTCTAAGTAAAAGAAATAAGTTTGAGCTAGCAGAGAAAGTGAAACTAGGACGAAGATGAAGATCAACGCCAAAGTTCGTGGAGAATGGATCCTGATTCCCTGCAAGCAAAACCAGAGCACGATCGCATGGCTGGGCAAAGAAAGTCTCTCACGATACCGTGTTATGAAGAAATACGACGAGGAAGATGAAGTCTACGAAATCAGGAAAACTCCAGGGGGTAGCCTCCTCTATCCAGATGACCTGCTTGTTGATATCTTAGATGAGAACGATTTTGTTCATGTCGGTAGGTATGAATTAGATCCAGACCATATACAGCACGTTATTAACTTATTGTTGGAACAGTTTTTGAAAATGTAAATTAGATCTAGAGTCTAGATCTATAGTCTAATTATGTGTTTCATTTACTTAGAATATTAATTAATAATGAAGGATATGAATAAGAGTCAGAGCTGGGTGGAGTGTGGAGAGGATATTGTAAAGACAAGTGAAATGAGATCAAGAGCATGATTAGCTGGATCTGGAGGTGAGGAAAGCAGTACATTTGAAGAATGAAGGAAACAATTTTGACCTCTTCAGAACCATACCCCTCCTTGCTCACCATTCCCTGTTCATGCTTTAGTTACATTTATAATTTAATCACTTTCTTTGTCACTGAATACTACTCACTTACACGTACCACTCCAGCAAAGCATAGAGAGTCAATGCTAATGCAGAATGGCCTCTAGCACTGCATGCTTGCTGTGAGGCAGGTATTATTAGACCTATACACAAATATACACACCACACAATATTGCATAGACTGCACACTTGTAATCATGTCGATGCAGCTGTAAGCAAAGTTTGACACTAGACTTACAATTTGAATTTTTAAATTATTCTTTTTAACATCAGTGAGTTAAAAAAAATGTATTTTACTGCTATTTAGGTGTTTCATTAATTGTCACTAAAGTACTGATTTTGAGTGAAATCAATTGAGTTTTGTACAGTGCTGTTTGAAATGTTGAGAATCAGAAGCACAGCGTTTACTACACAGCCAGGATAGTGATGCTCCTTATGTGTGCTTACACCTGACCCCCTCTATCACACAACATTTTGTCCTGCTTTCTCATTGGTTGATTTAATGATGAATATTTATATGTTGCACCTTCTTAGACATGATTTAACTTTTCTTTCGTGAATGTAAAAATCTATCTTTATTATACTATTTATAATTTGTTTTAATGGTACACTATATTTTGTATGAATTGCTCATGCTTAAAATATGTAAATGAGATAAATAATAAAGAAGGGCATCAGACAAGCAAGGCATCCCATGCCCAGAGTTCAGATGATCGAGCACCAGATTTCATGTTAAACACACTTTATTTCTCCAAACTGTATTTGATTTGTTGTGGAGTAGACCCATGCTTAGAAACGTTGCCCTTACACCTATTTGATGAATGATGTTTGTACAAAAGCATGCACCAATAACGGGGCACTTGGCAAGTTGCCCAATTTCACCAATTTTTCCATTTCCCACAATAGCAATATGAGTGAATTCTAAATGTATGATGATAAACTCTACAAATTGATTTTAAAAAGAATCAAATTTATTTTATTATGTTATTTGTGAATAACATCTGTAACTAACATAAATTCTTTGTGATTGCCTTACTTTAAAGTTCAAAAGTTGAAAGTATCATGTAGTTCTTTGTTACTTTACAGTGTTAAATGGCTTTGTATTCTATCTATCAAAATGTTTTAATTGTTATTTTTTTTAGTGATGAAGTCGGACATGACCAACAAGACATGCTCGACCACAATCAACGGGAAAGGTTTTAGCATGGATTTTTCACCAGGCTCTCCACAAATGTATCCTTGTTATGAGAAGCAGAGTGTGGTTTAAGTTCCAGGTCAATGAATCTGTATTCAGGGTTATTGGCATTAATTGAGTTTAATAACATTCAATTCAATGTATGTACAGTAAATGAGAGATGGCCAAGATATCTGTGTTCAGTGTTTGGCTAGAGCATGATACTAATAACTGGAAATTTAATGTATCTTTGAAATAACTAAAAGATGATAGAAGTGCAAGCAAATTTTTGATGAGATTTCCTTCAAGAATTTTGAAGTAAATAGAAGTTCAAAACAAGAAGCACTCGGGTGAAATCGTGAAAATGAAGAGGTTGCAGTATGATATAGGTGTCATGATAAATTGATAATCATGTTTTGCATTATGTTATACTATAGCTGGCAAATATTGAAAAGAAGTGTGTACTATACCTTTAAACTTAGCACTAGGTTTTTGTTATTGTCACTTTGTGATTGATCTATCAAATGAATCAACTATAAATTTGAAGAATGTTTGTAATCATTGCCACTTAACAGAAAAAAGTTCCCTCCAAATTGAATTTATTTGGTGTAAAATCCTTTTTTGAATGGTTTCAAGTCATGCAGTCAAGCATGCCAACAATTTGGGACTGTGGTTGTGCTATTGTATACTAGTCGTATTTACTATTGTAATTAAAAAGTAGTCTGTTTGGAGGGAATAAATGGGAGAGTGCTCCAATGGCATGGCAATTATTCAGGTCAGAATAGCTATTAAAACAGTTATCCATGAAAAACTGAAAAACATAATATCATTGCACGTCGCCATCAAATCAAAAAGAAAAAAATATATATTAATAATCCAATTTAGCAATCTTTGCTTACTACCGGTACTACTCTGTATGTTATTGTTGTGCTTCTGGTTATAAATATAATAGAATTGAGTAAATTATTACAGACCTAATTATTTAATGCATTAATTTTAACATAATTTAATAGTACATTTTATGGTGGAATGATGGCATTAAGGATTTTGGAGAGAATGATTCACAAAAATATTCCTTGACTGTTTTTTGTCGATTTTGATCAGATCAAGCACATGTGGTGCAGACGTTCGTGAGGTAAGAAATTAGTGTAAATTAATTTACAAAAGATATAATAATAATGTTAGAAAATCTTGAAATGTACATTTGATATGTCTACTCACATCAAAATATGAAAGAGAGAGAGAGAAAGAAAGTCACTACACGTTCATAATGTTTACAAAAAAATGTCTTAAATCACATAATAAAATGTTCATCATAGCAGCAATATGATAGTCCACCATGAGACGGGTCAAAGTTTAACCTTCAAAGGCTTCATGGTTTGTGAATTACTATCTAGTCACTTTATTGATTTTTTACATTTGAAAAGAGCAGAAGAGAAGAGAAAAAGAGAGATTTAAAGAAAAGAAAAGGATAAAGCCATAACATTTGAAAGGAAGGGAAGGATGCAACTAGTTTCTGTGAGAAGCCATGCACATGTTCTCTGGCCAAGTACACACTGGTAAAAAATCAATATACACTGTATTGTTTTCACAATGGGATTTATGCAGCCATCCATGACTTGGACAAAATATTCAACTTGTGTATACATAGATATGTAGCTGCACTGAGGTGGCAGGTCCAGGGTTTTGTAAAATCCAGTGCAAGAAAATGATCTGCCCAGCAGTGAAAACAAGAAATGGGGTAATCTTTATGCATAAATTTACCGACAAGCAAATAACCGTGAAAAAAAAAGAAAAGGGGGATGGGGGGGGGGGGTTGTATGAGGTATGCGACTTGGGTTTCAAGAGGGATGGGGCATGAACTTGTACCCCCTCCCCCCTCCCAATCTACTAATGACTGCTCTGAAAAGCTACACTTAGAAGGAAGTCATCTAGTCTATGAATCAGACCCGTTTCTTTTCTTTTATTTTCAGGTGGGGGAGGGGTCATCATAAAATAGTTACATATTTGCATAAGACCATATATCCATATACAGTCATTTTATCACATAAAATGGGTAAGGTGGAAAGCATTCTGTAATTTCAATTTTCAAGGTGGACCCGGATGAGTTTTAAGGTATTATGCACTTCTGTGATCATAGCTAAATGGAAGATGGGTGGAGCATTCTGACATATGTGGTTGTGTCATGCTATAGTAGAGAGGGAAGGAGGGAGGAGAGAGAGTAGGAGAAGGAAAGGAATCAAAAGAGGGAAAAAGGAAAGACAGGGAGGGATAGAATGATAACAAAAAGTGTGTACAAGTACCTCCATTGCTAAAAGGAACCTTTTTGTTTTCAATTTTCAAGATCTTCCAACTAATACCACAAAGAATAAATATATCTGTAAGAGGTAAAGATACATAAATGGAGTCAAGGAGCTATGAGAGAGAGCTTTGATATCTGTATTTTCCCATTTATTTGATCCCAGTTCTTTCTATTTCTTTCATTCTCTATTTCTTTTTATTTCGATCTTTCTTCTTATTCAGTAATGGGAGCAATAAATGAATTACAATGTTATTGCTATATTATATACTCTGTTAACTTAATATATTTATTTTCTTGTTTTGATTCCAATGTAGATTCTCTATTTGGATGGCAGCAGTATGTCCCCTGATGACCTTGTTAGACTGGGAAAAGGTCAATACAAGATCAAGGTACAATGTTATATTCTGAGAGCCAGAAAGACATTACCTTAATGCCCTTCTGTCTCTCAACAGAGGATAAAGTCTTTGAAGTAAGCCATATGATTTTGTCCAGGTGTGGATTTCTGCATACTGCTGTCTTGTTACTGTGGTATCTCCATATCAATTTGACACTTGTATTTCAACATTTTATATCAGTGTAATAAAACACTGGGAGAGGATTCAGACTTAGATATGCATTCTGAAGTTTAATAGGACATAGCTCATTTTATTTCATTTATCAGAACTTTGTTGTACCTTTATTTATTAGTCGTGTACTAGTTTTAAATGATTAAGGAAAATATTATTGGAACTTTTGAAGACACTGTGAACTATTGTCAGCTAGTTATTTGAATGTTGATTACTGGGCAAAAGCAAACGACCCTTTGAAGACTGAGACATACTGGCAATGAATTCAATTTCTTCTAGCCTGACAATACCCAGGGACTAGCTTTGGTATATCCTGTCAATGACTTAATGAAAGATTCTGTTCATATTTCACACTTGTAGGTCACATCAGATGCTTGGGAGAAAGTAGCAAAGGCTAGAGAACTTGTGGACAACATTCTCAAAGAAAACAAAGGTATCACATTCTCCTGACATGGTGACATGCATTCTAATTAAGACTTTAAAAAACTTGAGTAAGAATGTTTTTTGAATGCACGTAATATATTGATTATCTGTTATGATTATTGATTTCCAGTCCATCCAAATGAAATTAGGTATTTCACAGCGAATCTTATCTCAGATTTAAGGAAATATTGAATATACAATAGATATAATGTAATATTCTTTAAACAGTTGTAAAATTTAAAATTTTGTAAGACATGGACTCAATCTAGGCCGGTATTATTTAGAAAATAATGTTTGAAACTCTTTTGCGCGAAAACTATTTTTTTCACATTGTTATTCATTTCTGTATCTTCAGTTGTGTATGGCATCAATACTGGCTTTGGGAAGTTTGCTCGAGTTGTCATTGCACCAGATAAACTAAAGTAAGTGATTGATGCAGCTCAACTTCAGTTCTGGTCTATGCTTGAATAATATTGGCATTTACCTGAATATACCAAATATAGAAAAATCATATTCCTTTTTACCATGAATAGTGTTGCTTTCACCAAATTTACTTAAACTGTAGATAAGATTATATGTGCCCTAAATACCAATGCATCCAGAGGAAAGACTTTTGGGAGAAGCAGAAAATTAATGGATAAACAGAGATAGTATTTGCATGAATGATAAACTGATTTCTTAACCAATTTAAAAAAGCCTAGCAAACTGAAGACAAGGGAAACAAATAATGGAGAACCAGTGACTATGATGCAATAGCTCAATGATAGATCAGTTGTCTCATAACAGGAGCTTCTGGGTTCAAAACAAATTTAATGCACTAGTGCCCCTTTTAGAGGCATGAATCTTCAGTATCACAAGTCTCTCTGAGACACATACACATGCTTTCTTAGCAGTCGGGTAAAAACAGCCATACAAAAAATGATAAAAATAACCTTCATTTTGACATTTATAAGTGTTTGAAATCCCTCTTTCTACCAACTATCAGGGAGCTGCAGGAGAATCTGATCCGCTCCCATTGCGTGGGTCTTGGCCGCCCCCTGTCCCCGGAACACACCCGTAAGCTGCTAGCCCTAAGGATTAACATCCTAACAAAGGGATTCAGCGGCATCTCAGTTCAAAACCTGGAGAAGCTCATTGCTGCATTCAATGGTGAGTTTAAACTATAGGAAATATAAATGTTGTATTTTTCAGCTGTGCATTGTGTATAGTTTGCAAGCACAAACATGTTTAAAATACAGGGTCCAAAAAAACTCTAGATTATATTTATAGGCCTTGTGCTGTAGTTGCTCCTGATATACAGCCCTGGGCTTGGGCAGCTGGGTGTGGCCCCACTCAAGACAATATTATATATTTTTGTTATATTATTTTTCTCATGGTTGATATTTGTTATGAATTTCCATCCTGTCAGCTTCCTGTCTGCCAGTGGTGCCATGCAAGGGAACAGTAGGAGCAAGCGGGGACCTGGCTCCGTTGTCCCACCTTGCTCTAGGCTTGATGGGAGAGGGCAAGATGTGGAGCCCCAAGAGTGGATACGCTGATGCCAAAGATGTAAGTCCATGATGATGATGAATGTTCTAGATATTGTGTGTTGAGAAGTAGTTGGGCATCGCTTTTAGCATTCTATCATGATAGCCTTGCTAAAGCATGGGTAATAATAATAATAATATGAGGCTGGGTAGAACATGATATTGGTATTAAGATATAGTGACTCATATATTTTTATGTATAGTCTGGCTCTTAACAGTATGATGATTCAACAACAACAAAATTTTAACCAAAAGTACAAATAAATTTGTATGAAGGTGTCAACTTCTTTATTAGTTTAAGAAGATAAAAATTGAGAGACGGACGATAAGGGAGGAAATGGCATTGTACAAACTTAGAGGGAACAATATGAAATCTTGCATGATTCTACTTGGCCTTCATACATGTACATAAATACATTCACTCTTTAAGAAAATAGAAGGTTTTAATGAATAGTTGACTGCCAATATATATATGTATAAATGCACCTATCTGTCTCTATTGCAGATTCTGAAAGCACATGGGTTGACTCCAATCGAACTTGGACCTAAAGAGGTATGTTCTTCATCATCAATTCCTCATCATACATGGATGCCAGAAAAGAATTGATTTCTCGAATTTACAGGTCTCGTATTATGTAGTGTGTGTATGAGGCCCACATACCACCTGTAAGCTTTTAAGGGTCTACAACAAGTAGCTAAACTACCATCAGTAAATCTAAACATGTGGTGAAAATTTGTGGCATGTCTCAAGTATTTTGTTATTTGTTTTTTATTTCCGCGTTTTGAAAATAATATATAATCATATACATAAATTAACAATTATATTTCTTCATTACCGGTATTCATAATTACAAAGTTTTCAGTACATAAAATAAGATGCATAGAACACCCATATTTTTCAATCAAAAGAGATAAAGTACACAAAACGCAGAAGACCGCCATCATGAGCTGTATGTCTTAGAACGAAAATTAAGATTATGGCTCATTGATATGTATCTGCGCTATATAAATTGATCTAATTTATTCATATATTTTCCCTATAACAGCTGAGATAGATATAGAGAGAGAGAAAGAGACATATCTTATGTGTTAATGATAATATTGTTAACTTTTTTTTTCTAGGGCCTGGCTCTCATAAATGGCACTCAACTAATTACATCGCTTGGAGCAGAAGGTAAGGATAAACTTGAATTGATAACTTAGAGATTAGATTTATGATTTTATACAGTGAAAGACCACCTAGTGGATAGGTATGGGGTCTTATATATGGACACAGGCATATAGAAATTTATTCTTTGATTCCTTTTAATAGCAGTCTTCATACCCAGGTTTCACTGTAGCATGTCTCATAAACACATCATTATTACAGGTGTCAATAGTTGTAGCTCAGTGTAGCTGCAGCATCAGTAGCAGCAGCAGACATGTAGTACCAGAGGTAGTAGTGATATAATAGAAATGTCCGATGTTGCAGAGTAGTAGAAGTAGCAGTAGTAGTAATGTTAGCACATGCATTTAATGAAAAAGAAATTAAAATATTTATGTTTTTATACGATAAGACTGTTGAAGTTTTTTTGCTGAATCAAAGTATCTTTTTATACTTCAACACCATGATAACAAATCAGAAGAAACAATTAACGACAAGATTACTAATCTCCATATTATATTTATTACCATTTCCCAGCTGTCGAACGAGCATACTCTATTGCTCGCCAGGCCGATGTGGTAGCAGCACTAACTCTAGAGGTCTTGAAAGGAACCACCACAGCCTTTGAGAGTTGTAAGTCATGTTTAAATTCAAGTTTGAAATTAAACTAAATTCTATTCTAATACATCTGATCTGCAAAATTATATAATGATGTTATATTGTCTGCTGAGAACCAGATCAAAAGAGCATTAACGCATACCATTCAGCAGAGAGTTAAAGAAAACCTCACCCTAAGAAATAACTTTACTTATTCTATTACTTACTTAATAATATTATTATTAATGTACAAAATTTCCCACCAAAGTGTATGAGAGAGGCATAAAGCAAGAATAGTGTGCAGTTTCTCAGCACAACATGGGCATCGCCATTTTCTTGATAATGTGATGTACTATGTGAAGTCATTTATTAAGTATTACAAATATTGGATGCTTCCTTCCCAGGTGTGTGTGGTGATGAAGCATTTCATTCACCTGCTATTATCCTTTGTACTACAATTGCCAGAACAAAAATTGCATAAATTAGTTGGTGCTCTTCTGGGGTGGGGTTTGCTCATAAAATGAAATAGATTTGTCATTTAACTGCTTTATTTTGGTATTTTTAAATGATCACTCCCCTGTTATATACATTTTTCACCAAATATAGTCTTCTCAGCTATGATTTTTCCTCATTGAAAAGTAAAGGTTTTGTTATGATTCAAAAATTCTTTCCAACTAAAGCTTTGTGAATGATATATGTACAACTCCAGGTGGTATGTCACATTATCAAGAAAACTGCTGTGCCCATGTCATGCTAAAAGGCATCACATCATGCCAAGAATGTCTTCATTTATATATCTCATGTACACTTTCGTAAGGAATATTGTCCATCAAACCGGCAGGAATACATCTCATTTATTACTTTGGGCTGAACTGACATGGATTTTTAATTAGTATCAAAGTCTTTTAAAGAAAATTGAACTGTAGTATTGTCAAAAATATGTTCTTTGTTTTCCTTTTTTTGAAGTTCAAAAGAGTGGGGTTTTAACGGGGTGTTAGAAAGCCATTTTTTAATTTTTTTTTTTTTTTTACTGATCACAACTTCTTTATAAATACTCTCATGGTTCAATTTCCATTTTGTTTTATTGACAAAACTCAAAACTAATGAAAGCTATCAAACTGCCATTCTTAAATTATCCAGGCATCCACCGTAACAGACCTCACAAGGGCCAGAGGCTGGTTGCCAAGCGGTTCCAGTCCTTGCTTCATTCTGAGGTGCATCCATCAGAGATCTCCATCAGTCATCGGTTCTGTGACCGGGTCCAGGATGCTTACACCCTTCGATGCTGCCCTCAGGTATGAACCAGGGCTTGATATAATAACGGTTCTGATAATTATAGGCCACTTTATATCAAGCTAGACTTACAACGTAGGCTCTCTAAAGAGTCAGAATGGACATGATTCACTGTCACACAAAAAACCCTAAGCCAACAACAACAACAACAACAACAAAAAGAAGAAAAAACAAATATATTACCTAAAAACTAAACAGAGATATATTGTTGTTATAGAGAAATTAATTGTTGTAGGGAAGTTTGTGAGCAACATAGTTGAAGAAATATATTTTCATGTTAGGAAGTCTTTCTTGACCATGTCTTTAAAGTTGAATATTTTCAAATACTAAATTCACATTTCTATTATGTGTTTGTCACAGGTGCATGGAGTGGTGTGGGATACGATTGAATTTGTCAATGGCATCTTGACTACGGAGATGAACAGTGCTACTGACAACCCTGTATCCTTCTATATCAAAACAATATATCGTCTGTTCGGAGCCAGAAAGACCTTAACTTTGACACAAATTTTATCTCAACGCCTTCTGGCTCTCATCAGACGATATTGTCTGATAGTAAATTTCTTTCAGGTTGAAAAAGAATATATCATTTATTTAGTGTTTTAAACTTTAATAGGTAGGTTCTCACCACTGCTGGGATGTGAGTTGTTTTTGGTGAAAAGTAGATCGTCTCCAATTAGCCTTGATATACACAGCCCTGTAATAGGCTTCAAATGCATATCTAAAAGGTTACTTTAGCATCAAACTATATTCAGACTACCTCACTTCTCAAACTCAGACTCTCTGAATTCATAAAGGATGGAGGCTTATTCTTATTTTTGTTAACAAGATACATTTGGTCCTTCAAATACCCTATGGTATGAAGTAGGTTTACTCACGACCTTGACTGAAGAACCTGACCTAGACAACCCATAGCAATTTCTTCAAGTTAATCCTTACATTACCAGTGGAAATATACCACCACTGGAAATATACCACCACTATGCATGATAGTCAATTACACTTGACAGTTGTATGTTACAAGCAGTTCTCATATCAAGAGAGTTGAATTAAAAGTTCTACATTTGTAGTTGATACCATATGGAATGTTTTCTAGAGAGTATTTTTTCCTGAGCTTTCTCAATAATCAGATGGTGTTTTCAGACCAGCATGAGATCCTATCTGCAGGAAACTTCCATGGAGAATATCCAGCTAAGGTAAGAACTTCATTCTAATTGAGAACAAAATATCCTTCAATAATAGACATCTGCAAATGTTCTCCACGTCTGCAGGTATTCACACACACTCTTTCAGTGTAAGGCATTGAATCACTCAACCGCTTTTAATTGACAAGGAAATCTGTATAATGTGAAAAAGCAAAGTGATTGCAAGAAATATGGTTACAAATCCTGTCTCTTATCTTCTTAAACCATATGTATTCATTTTACTTATTGTAGCGGAAGCATCTTTGACTTTGTTTATTGGTCTTTCTTTATTATTCCAATTCTCTTGTTGCTCCTAATGCTCCGTAAAAACTGCACAAATGAAAATAGATCGAACGGATCATAAATCAACTGTTCATAAATATACATATTATGCCTAGAGAAAACCTGGTGACTTGTATCAATAATATGCACCTTACAGCTAATTAACCCCTTGTTTGAACCTTTTCCTTATCTCACACATTAACTTGTACTGCATATAAACTAAATACAATTCTAACTGTTTGTTACTACCAGTACATGTATGCTTAATTGAACTAAGTCAGGCTTTCTGACATACATCCTTTGTATCACTTCTATTCATAATTACAGCATGTATCTTTATAACTAAACCATCTATTAATTATCAATATAAACTTGTATAAATCATATAACAACTTTCTCATATTATGCACCCTAAGTACTCATCTTAGTACATTGACTCAAACTAGGCAAATCTTTGTTTACATTCTTGCATACGTGTACCTTTCATTCGCATGCCGTAGTGTACATTACATAACAATAACATTCGGTATGTGAGCCGACCGTCTCGGCTACTGTGCAATGTAAGTTACATCCATGTAATGTACACAACGAGTTAGGTGCGAATGAAAGGTACTTAATCATAGAATATCGCATCATTACAGCATTTATATACAACATTCATCACATTGCATCATTACATACCTTCATTCTGCCTTCTTAAAGTGCATCAAACTTCCATACTACACAAGGATGCCTCCAATATCAACGGATTTCATCCACTGGAAATCAAAAAGGGTGCCATTTCTTTACACGAATTTAGTAGCCTCCAGATGGCGCTAAACATAAATATAATCAATCTACTTGATCGACTTAATAAATGAATTCACATCGATCACTGAAACATGGCTCCTTTAAATTATTCTAAAATTTACTAAACAATCGATTGACATTATTAAGGAATTACCTATCCCTTCTAACCTATTTACTGAATGTAGTTCAGCACTCTTTATGAAAATTTCTAACCTTTGCAATATCGATGACAACAATATAAATTATATATTTATATCTCTGTCTTGAGATTAATTTTCAAAAATCACATAGGGCACATGACACACTATATCAAACCATCAAATAAAATTCCCTGAATAGTATTAGCTTTAAAACACATTTACGTGGAAATACCAGTTCTATCAGCATTACTGACTCGGCTTGTATTAAATAAGTCCATACACAAGGTTTCTTCAACAGCTATATAACAAATGTATCTGGCTTGAACCAAACCTATACTGTGCTGTTTACCTTACTGGATTTAACAAAATACTTTTAAATTCTTTAAACAGATTTTCGTCTCAATATGAGTCCAAATGCAATTATTGATAAACACTGTTTTCATGCTTTATCTAGAAATGTTAATTTACTAGTTTCACATTTACCGGTAATCTTAGTAGCTATGAGAAAACACAAAAAACATGGCTTATGTTTTCAAAGTAGAAATGTTCACATTTAAATAAATATCACTTCATGGTGAAAAATGCTATAAATGCAATATAACCACTATACTACCAACAAATATCTGGAATTTAGCAATTTTTAGCCAAAAAAAAATAAATTCCCCTTTTTGGAATGTGATAGCCACTTAATCACATAAACATGGACATTTCAGTGGATTAGCATGATAAATCGATTCAGAGATTACTAGAACTGACCTGTGAAGAAATAAATGGTTATTAGACAAATACATAACAACACATGCATACATTTAAATGCATTGCAGTTTACAATGAAAGTTTTATGTCTTTAAGGAAAATTTGTCCAATTGCAATTTTCACAGTTCAATTAGTCTCAATTCAGGCAGCAGAGTCTGTAATAAATGAATTTGTATAGTCTCACGTGCAGACCCTGAAGAAGCAAACAGCCTTCGTTCTAGACCGTTTCAAATAAACGTTTCTGGGGATAATGTAAAGCAATTAGTCTTATCCACAGACCTGTTGTTTCAATAATTCCAGTCTTGACTAGAAATCTTAAGGTCTTACTTAAATAACAAGTTTAACCCTAACTAAATGGATTCCCCGCGAAATTATCAAATGTCGGGTTCCTTGGCCGGGAATTCCTCTTGGTCTTCACGTGGTAACAGAAGCACCAGTTTGTGGATAGGACGCTCCAATTCTTGAAGAGGGTTCTTACGCTTACCGCTATTACATACTCTGGAGTCCCCCACAACGAGTTTCACTTTGCGAATGTGTCCATCTTCAGATGGAAAGACTCTGATAACACGTGCTAGTGGCCACTGGTTTCTGGGTGCATTCACGTCCTTCACAATGACAATGTCGCCGACTTCAGCTTCAGGTTGTGGGTGAGTCCACTTCCGTCGGACTTGCAGGTTCTGAAGACATTCCTTCTTCCACCGATTCCTGAACCCCAGAACTTTATGAGATGCTGCACTCTTGGCTTGAAGAGCTGTGAAACGACGAAGTGCTTGAATGAATGAATCGTAGTCAAGCTCTTGATGACTATCTTTCTTGATTTGACGCCTTTTCTTTCTTTCAAGCAGACTCTGGTTCTTCTGGATAGATTTCAGGATCTGAATTTCATCTTCAGAGGCTTTCTTCTGATCGTGCTTTAGAATTTCAATCTCTGCTAGATGAAGATCCTGCACAGTAACACCCCTTTTGGTTGTTGGGTAGTCACTTGCTTTCTTATCACGCCTGTCTTTACAATGTACTCTATTGGCGGCGTCAGTTAATCTCATGTAGGCACATTGACCATACCCTGTTGTACTTGCATCTGCGAAGTGATGATACTGTACCGACTTCACGGCCTCGAATTCAGCAGGCTTGTAACATCTAGGGATAGAGAGTGATTGAAGTTCCAGTATGTCTATTCTCCATTTCTTCCATCTTTCTCGCAGAACATCTGGAAGCAGATCATCCCAGTCTGCTGTCAGCTTACACAATGTCTGGAGAATCTGCTTCCCTATAAACATAACTGATGCCAACAGTCCTAAGGGGTCATAAATAGACATGACTGTGGAAAGTATCCCTTGCCTGGCTAGGGGCTTGTCCTGAAGTGTGATTCTGAAGTTGAATGCATCGGATTTGACACACCCTTGTACACCAAGAGCTCGCTCTAGAGGTAAATCATCATGATGCAGGTTAATCTCTCTGACATTCTTTACCCTGTCTTCCTCTGCAACAGTCTTCAGTACATCTCTTGAATTGACAGCTTGTGATAATTCTGCTCCTTCATCCTTTCTATCAAGGAAATCAGCTTCCATTAATTTCGTCACTCTTGCAGGGGTGATCTCCTCCTCTACTGATGTGTTATGAGCGAACAACACATCCTTGTTTACTGTCCTTAGCTCAGCAGGAATCTCACAGGCTGTCAATCGATGACTTACACCGACGGGATCATCTTCATAAGCATACTTGTGTTCATCTTCCTTCACAGTACCCAGGATGCTCCATCCAAGGTCCGTCCTTAGACCATACGGACCATTATCATCAGCAGGAGGGATGACATCTCTTTGTATGAGTGCCCTTGCACAGTCGTATCCAATCAATAAACCAACTTCACAACTTTGCAGGGGCATGAGATGATGTGAAATCTTGGATAAGTGAGGGATTCTCATTGCCATCTCTGGAGTGGGTATGTGATCACGGTTTGCTGGTATAAACCCTCTGGTGTAGGTTGTCGGGAGAGCAATCCGTTGTTCTCCATCAAATGATCGGATGGTCAGACCCTCTATGCGCTGACTTGGTACTCTTTCATCCATAGCAGACATCGTTGAAAGAAGAAGACTGACAGGAGCTCCCTGCAGATTCATCTCATCCTTGGTTTTCTCTAACATGAAAGTGGTGTCAGATTGGGTGTCTATTAATGCATACACCATTCGTTCAACTGATATGGTAGGATGAGATAACCAAACAGGAACTATCATCGTGCTCTTCCTGGTGGTCAATCTACTAGTATCGGTAGGTTGCTGACTAAATGAAGCATGAGACCATGACGTCTGAGTTTCCATGGGTCTGTCTTCTACATTTGTCTCCGTCTTTGGTTCTGGTTTCTTCCTATCTTCATGGAGACAAGATGGATGTCTCCCTTGACAAATACTACAGGTACTTCTCCATCTACAATGCTTGGACATGTGGCCTGCCTTCAAACATCCATAGCATAGACCTTTCTCTCTTATGTACCTTTTACGATCTGTCATGTCCTTTGATGCAAATTCACTGCATTCTTCTAGGAGGTGATCCTTCTTACACAGGTAGCAGGAGCGTTGAATATTTCTCCTCTCCCTCTGTCTCTTGTTGTCTGAATTGGAAGATGTAACATTGGTGTTGAGAGTTCTAACATCTGGTACAGGCTTCAGGTGGTGTAAAGATGTGATTGGATAACATGCTATCTTAGCCTCTTCATCTATGAACCTCACAAATACTTGAAAGGGAGGAAATTGTCCTTTCATCTCTGTCCATCCGATGACCTTACGTGACCATCTCATCACAAGCCAGTCTGGCAATTTGGCTAAGAGCTTCTGATTCTCCCTCTCATCGTTTAGGTGGTGTAGATTTCCAATCCTATCCATTGCAGTGACACATTGGTGGAGAAAATCAGCTAGGTTTCTTAGACCAAGTGCATCTTTCGAAGAAATCTTAGGCCATCTGTCTAGCTTGTCTCTGAAAGCATTTGCTATAATGAAAGAATCTCCATACTGTTGAAAGATCAGATGAACGGATAAATAAGAGATCACTGTA